AAAATACCAGTGGTACAAATGAGTTGTTGCTATACAAATGGCTTGGTTAAATAAATTAATCGAAAGGGCTTAACCAAGTTAGATGTAAGTGAACTGGAATATATGTGGAGGCACTACAACTGTCTTACGCAATGAAGCTGGATCACACGAGATTCACTTAGCAAAGAAGTACCAGTCTCATCAAAAATGAAGATTCACTTTGCTAATAATCACCAACCAACATGAAATCTGATTTCATGGTTCCTATGGCTAACCTCCAACTATCCCTGACAAAGCCAATGTTCAGAAATACCAGGAGAGTAATAACCTTTTCTAAATATCCATCCACCATGTCACATAAAATTCACTATTAAAAAATATATATTTTGATCCTAAACTCGTATCTGATTGGTTCATTCAAAATTGCTGATCGCATTCATTGTTTAAAATCATATGACTGTCCAATAACTAACAGTATGTGTAATCACGATATATATAACATTATTAATCACTAAAATCTACAATAACAAAGTGTCAGTTGCTTTTCTATTTCTATTCGTCAATTGTCAACCTATCCAAGTTAAAACAGATTGATGGAATCATTTTGTTGTGCTAAGATCACATTCAAGAAAAAACAAAACAAATCAAGTTGTAGACAGTGATTGACAGACAGACAGTGTGTGTGTGTGGTTGTCTGTGCGCACGAAACTACAATTTCATGTTCACGTAGTTGTTGATGTTGATGTTGTTTACGTGCATTATCAGTATGATTGGCATTGTAATCTATGGAAATAAATTTATCTACCTACTACAATAACTGCAGCTGTGTGAAGAAAATACGAAGCATATATAAAGGGTAGACATTTTCTACACATATGAAATGTAAATGAAATGAACATGAAATGTTTTCAGTCTTTTAAAATTTGAAACAATAACAAAACGAGAATTTTATGCACAAAAAATAAGACACAACAGAACATGAAGTGTCTGTCTGTTGTGGAATTCAGACTTTCTTTTTTTTACGAAAATGTTGTTTTTGTCTCAATATTCAATCAGCAATAATAATAATAATAATAATAATAATAATAATAATGACCAAGACTAGACAAACACAACATTATTTTCTGCGCAATCATTATTTGCAACAATGAATCGATCAATGTTAGACCACCATTAGAAACCTGGAAGCACTGGACGGCTGTTTCGCCCTGGTATGGGACTCATCAGCAGTGTGCATCCACGACTCCTACACCTCGCAGGATTCGAACCCAGGACCTTCGGTATTGTGCGCGAACGCCCGAATCCTGCGGGGTGCAGGAGTCGTGGATGCGCTCTGCTGATGAGTCCCATACCAGGACGAAACGGCCGTCCAGTGCTTCCAGGCTTCTGATGGTGGTCTAACATTGATCGATTCATGGTTACAAATAAAACTTAATAATCTTCACAACAACCCCGTAATGCAATCATTATTTCATGGAAAATATCTCACATCTATAAGATGTCAGTTGCCTAGTTCTAAAAGGATATGAATTTTAAGTGAGATATTTCTTTCCAACCTTTGACTCTGGTTAACATGAAATATGTAATGATTCGTGTTTGAAAGAGACTTAAGCTTTCATTGAAAAGTCAGTCAGTCAGATGCAACGTAGAACTTCGTACGTAAGTACATCAGTTCATGTTGCCATACCACATCAGCACAGAGATATAATTGTCAATTCAAATCTAATAGTAGAAGAGGTAGTAAAGGTATTAGAAGTAATCTGAGAGGTAAGGATTAGAAGATATTATTCAAGAAGTATGATTCAGTGAGATAAGCTTAGAAAGACAAAAATAGGGGTGTTGAAGAATCCAGAAGATTAGGATTTGAGAGAACACAAAGAATAAATGCACTGGCGCCATTGCAAACGATTTTGAGCCATGTCATTCAGGGTATCTAACCATCGATTATTATCATCTCGCGGACCGCAACCAGGTAGTCGACAACTACCGACATGGCTCAGTCCACTAGTCAATGACTTCATGGGTTTGTACCATGTCTTGGTCTGGTCGCCCCTGCTTTCTTCCAACCTATTCCTACACTACAAAACAAAGCTCGTCGAGGCAGTCGGTGGTTAGGCATACGCAGCATATGTCTCAACCACTTTGAAGTTTCAGCACTTCATCTATTGATCTGCCATTCTTACCTAGCACCCGATTCCTAATAACAGCGTTGCTTACTCGGGTGTCCCAGGATATACGAGCAATGCTTCGAAGACACCTATGATCGAAAACCAGTAACCTACGGATATCTCCTACTCTCACAGGCCATGTTTCACAGCCATAAAGTAAGACGGAGCGAACCTTTGCGCAGTACACTCGTCCTTTAGTCAGCAAACAAAATCTCGCCTACGCCATAAATGACGCAGGTTGGCAAAAGCCAATCGAGCCTTCTGTATCCGTGCTGAGATTTCGTCAGTCACTGAAAAGTACTTTTCATTGAAAAGTAATTCTATTAAAATCAATCAACTGTCACAACTCATAAGCATCTTTAATTACATATGGAATTTGTGGAGACTGTTGAGATTAAGTGATCGGCAAATGACTTAAGGGTCTTTGGTTCATTCCACTCTCTGGTTCTGGATCTGATAGAAAGACACAGCTATCGAATGGCTCCTGGTTGTTAGTATTTTTATAGTGTCAATAATAACGGTAATAACTATTATCATACTATATATATATATATATATATATATATATATATATATATATTTCAATATATTTCAATAATTTTGACATTTATTGTAATTTTTATCGAAACGGAAAATGAGGTAGATTCATCCCTTAAAAAAAACTAAAAAGTCGCTGTATGGAAATGTTTAGGATCAAATCTTTGCATTCCAGTCAATTTTAGATATCCAACTTTAAATTCCAATAGATCAGAGCACTGAATGTTGCCCAGTGATCAGGAAGGATGAATTTTTCGTTACATAATTATTTAGTTCTTAAGTGGTATACGCATGTGGTCTAATAAACGAAAACTCTTGGATTTTAATAAAAAAGCACTTATTAGGAATACTGTAACTGACTGAATATTCATTTTTTATAAAAATTCGACGAAATATCTTCACATCAACCTAAAATGAACCAAGTAGTTTGAACTTGTACAGTCTGTCCTTGAGTTCACTGATATAAGTGACAAAAGATTTATTAATTTCAGAAATACATTTTTATTGATGGTTGAAATCATTTAGATTGACATTTTAAGATTGGTTTTATTTAAAAGGGATTTATAGATTCGAAGCTCTTGGTAGAATAGATGACAAAAATTGAACATTTTCATTAAGATGTATCATAAACTAAAACATGATAGGCGAATTAGATATAAGAACTAAGAATGTAGAATAATATAGCAAGACAACCAAGAGTAATATTTATACATACATCTTTCAATGAACATTTTCTTTCAAAATAATTGTTAATCATAAGATATATAAACTTCCATCCAACTTTTAAGCTGTTCTGGGTGTTGAATTTTGATCAATCAACTTTAAATTCCAATAGATCAGAGCACTGAATGTTGCCCAGTGATCAGGAAGGATGAATTTTTCGTTACATAATTATTTAGTTCTTAAGTAGTATACGCATGTGGTCTAATAAACGAAAACACTTGGATTTTAATAAAAAAGCACTTACTAGGAACACTGTAACTGATTGAATATTCATTTTTTATAAAAATTCGACGAAATATCTTCACATCAACCTAAAATGAACCAAGTAGTTTGAACTTGTACAGTCTGTCCTTGAGTTCACTGATATAAGTGACAAAAGATTTATTAATTTCAGAAATACATTTTTATTGATGGTTGAAATCATTTAGATTGACATTTTAAGATTGGTTTTATTTAAAAGGGATTTATAGATTCGAAGCTCTTGGTAGAATAGATGACAAAAATTGAACATTTTCATTAAGATGTATCATAAACTAAAACATGATAGGCGAATTAGATATAAGAACTAAGAATGTAGAATAATATAGCAAGACAACCAAGAGTAATATTTATACATACATCTTTCAATGAACATTTTCTTTCAAAATAATTGTTAATCATAAGATATATAAACTTCCATCCAACTTTTAAGCTGTTCTGGGTGTTGAATTTTGATCAAGTAAAACTTTAACTACTTATAAGTAGGCAAAAATATTTAGCACAATTTCTTCACTGTCTTTTTTGAATTTCATTTCATTCAAATAGATGTAGAATAACAGTTGTTTGTGTTCTTAAGCTTTTATGATAACATGATTCCCAATATTCATGTAAAAGATGAAGAAATATTCCATTATTCTTACTTTTTCTTTAAATCTGACCTTTAATTACCTTATGCTATGGTCATTAGCATAACCAGTAAATAAATAAAATTAATTGTCATGGGCCAATTGAATGGCATGAAGAAATAAGTACCCTTAAATTAGTTTAATGCATGTACATATCAAGTCCTCTTTTGTGAGGTGTAGTTAAAGTTAAGCTTTGTTATAAACGTTATGCACAAATTCTTCGCAACAATAACATCTGTGTATTCGTTAGTGATGATTATTTTCGAATTTCTTATGCTAGTTGATATTCAGCGTATTTATAAATTTCTGACATATGACAAAGACCTCTAATGGCTATGGACAAAGGTCCCACGATAGTATCAAACGACTGAAGTTAAATTTATAAATTATCAGATGTAGAATCATTGATCTAAAAAAGCTAACGAACTTATTGCATATGATCCTCTGAAAATCCTTTGGAAAGCACTGCAAAAGAGTCCCATTTTAGGACGAGATGGCTGTATATTGCTGCAAGTTTTACACTGGTTGTCTAGTTAAATTCAGTCGTTACTACAAATTACAAGAGTAATGATGTCGTTCATCGATCATAATGACTTAAAAAATCATTATAATTATTATAACTATTATTATTGTCAGTTTACGCTGAATAATCATTCGTTTACTTGTCTAATATGAAATATTCATCTTTCCATTTCAGAGTTCAGATCAAATGTATATTGAATCCTCTGGAGGATATGCTAAAAAATGGGGCGGTCGTAGTCATACAGCTACAGCTTATGGTGCAGATAGTACAATGACAGCAGCTCATCGATCTGGTACTTCATTAAAAACTAAAGCTCGTAAAACTCTTGTATGTCAGACACAATCAGCATCACAATTATCACCAATGGCATATTTACCACAACCACAACAGCAACAACAGCTGGATTTTCAATCATTGAATGGTGGCTCATTAACAATGACTAATAATCAATATCCATTACTGAAACATGCTTCATCATTTGTTTGTAGTCGTAGTGTAGGACCGAATACTACAACAATCACAGGAGGATATGAAAGAATTGATACTATACAAGCGAAATCAACTACAGATATTGAAACCGCTCAGGCATCAATTAGTTTACGTTGTCCACCTGCTAATTTACCAACTGAGAATATTTTCAACAATAATAATAATAACACTACTTATATAAATAAAAGTAGTAACATAATATATTCTTCAAATGGACCAAAAGAATCAAAAGGCTTATCAAAAGAGATTGCTTTACGTATAAAAGAGAAATTTGATCAACGTGTATCAAAACATTTATCCAAGTCTAAACAAAAATCAAAATCAAGTCCATATACTTATACATCACAATATCATTTACTTGCTGTATTTTTAGTAAATAAAGGTCATGTTGAAGCATGGTATGCATATTCATCAATGCCAAATTATTATTATAATAATAATTATCAACAAAATGAATTAGGTCATAGTCGTTTATTAGAATTAACTCAACGTCGATTGCGTTTATTACAACGTTATTATTCTGATTGTAGACAATATGTTGTACTTTATGTGAATAGTAATAATTCGGAACATTATTTACCAATGGGATTAGTGAATGATGTAAATAGTAGTCGACAAAATACTAATAATAATAAAAATCATTCCTTATCAATAAATAGATTGTTTTGTGAAAAGAATCGGCCGATTTATCGATTTGTCAATGCATTATTACCAAAGAATATGAAATTTGTCAATACTACTGATAATAATAATAATAGTAATAATGATAATGATAAACGATTGTTTGTTGATAAAAACGAACACAGTACTAATTTAACAACAGATAATGAAAAATTGACAAGTAGGACATCGGACTGTCAGCATCAATCAAGGCGGCAACGACAACAACAACAACCGCAGACGATCAATAATCAAATTGAACAGAAAGAGTCCAATGAAATGGAACTAGGTAAAGTGACGAATTCAATAAACCAACGACCGAATCTTTGGAGAAGGCTACTGGGACATTTAACATCTTATCATCATTCTACTGATAGTAGTACTATTAGTAGTAGTAAAAATAGTTATGAAGAGAACAACAATAATAATAATAATATTGATAATCATACTAACAGTACTACTAATATTGATAGAGACAATTGTTCTGACAATAATAATAATGAAAAGATTGATTTTAAATGTTATGAAACATGTTTACATTTGGATAGTTGTCTTGTTAGAGCAGATTCTCGTCAACAACATCATACTTCTCCGATGAAACCAGACGAATCAGTACCGCCATCATCAACCAAAATAACTATGAATCCAATTGATGAGAATACATGTACAAATAATTTAAACATTGAATCAAATAATAATAATCATTGTGAAAATATAGAAAAGAATGATTGTCTTATTGCAGCAATTCAACGGAAAACAACCAATCAGCAAGATTTATCAAATATGCATCGTAAATTATCGGATGTTAGTAAGCATTATACTGATAGTCAACAAACAGGTGATAGTAATGAAGGTGAACAAAAGAAATGTACAGTGAAACAAACAAAACAATTATCTGATTGTGAAGAAATTTGGTTACCTAAATCTTTTGAATTGTAAATGTGTATGTTGTATATGAATTGAAAAATAGTGAGTTGTTATACAAATAAATAAATATTTTACTAATTCAGTTTAAAATTGATTTGTCATGTTGCTTTTATTAATTTGAAGAACAAATATCAATTATAGTGTATGCGATGTATTCTTTATAAATCTCTTATGAGTGCATTTTATCGCATACTAACTAATAGAAGTAGATATGTGGTGCGCGCTACTTATAAGTAGTATATGACACGAGTAAAAACGTAATGTCTGGCAGCAGAAGATGGGGGAAGATCAAGAAAGGAAGAGTTAGAAAACAATCGGATTTGTATGAAACGCATGAACAGTGAAATGTCAGACAATGGATTGATTTTTTGCAAATTAACGATTTACGATATGGCTTTCCTATTTTACCAATTAACTCTGTAATTTGAGATAAATACAATTCGGTTGCCCTCACCTGCGTTCTCTTTCACTACAGATAGGTTTATTTAACAGATAGATTGTGGCCAGCAGTGAAATACAAGACGCATATCCCATCCTAACTCTAACTCATTCAAAGGATGTATCTGCATTCCTATGTTGATGTTCACATTGGAATTCAGATCTAGTAATTTTCTTTTTAATCTCTTAATAAGTTATTCAGATAGCCGCTAGCTTGTCCAACAATTATGAATTCGTTTTAATTTGTAATGGTTTGACTTTAATATTATCAGTCACAAATAGAAGAAACGTGCATCCTAAATTTCACTGCTAGCCAACTAGTCATGCATATCAATAATAGGATGAGTTGAAGCCACAACAAATTAAATGTTTATTTACTTTTTTCTGAAATTAAAAAAGGCATGTGGCAAAGTAAACACATAATTGAAATGAAAGCATAAACGCATAACACAACTAGCTTCAACTCATGAATTTATAGTCTGAACCAATCATGGTTAGAGACCCTGAGTGACATGGCGGAAAACCGTTCGCAATAGCGCAGGTGAATTTATTCTTTGTATTCTATAAAAATTTTAACCTTCTGAATTTCCAATCACCTCTATCTTTCTCCTTCGAAAGTTATCTCACTGAATTATACTCCTTGAACAACATCTTCGAACCCTAATCTCTCTGATTACTTCTAATACTTTTAGTACCTCTACACCTATGGGATTTGAACTGACAGTTTTATCTCTGTGCTAATGTGGTATGGCAATTTGAACTGCTGTATTTACGTACGGAGTTCTACGTTGCTGTTGGTGATGATTTACAAACAAATACTTGTAAATAGGATCCCTAATTGTCAAATGCTTCACAGACTAACAATGTTGTCGAGAATTTTCAAATTCATATGAAACATATGACCAATACTCTCTGGTTTGTAACGATTTTCTTACTGACCGCTTCAAGCATCAAATTTAAAGGATTTCTACATGTCTTTAACATTATTGACAATCGTATGCTGCCTGATGACTACATTCAAGATGAATATTCGGAGTTTTTATGAGAATTAATAGTCAGTAGAGCTCAGTTAAATCAGATATTAAACAAACAGTTTTGCGACAACCCAAAGTGACTGAGTTTCAAAATAAGAACTTCTAGATTTCAATAACTCAGCAGTTGAAAACTGACGAGTTCTTCTCCTCTATGGCTTAAAGGTTCTAGGTTCAATCATTGTGACGGTCCTCCTTTCTGTTACTACTTCTGAAGAATTTCATACGAAGCAAAAGTTATTCAGTTATCACGATTGTTAGCCAATGAATTAAAATGTAGGTTGGAAAATCTATACAACACTTATCTAGATTTGAAAGTTAACATAATTTCAAAAGTTTCAAAGGATTGATTAGTAGAAACAATATGATAAAAATCAATTTATTTTTCAATTCATTGAATACAGGGAGATGATTTGATCATCATCATTGTTATTATCCTCCATATAATCAATCTTCATTTAATGAATTAGTTACAGAATTGTATGAAGAACCACGGGTGTACATTTATTAATCAAAAATCTGTTAAGCTTTTAATGCCATAACCTACATAGTAGTCAACCAGTCAGTTAGAACGTAGAACTTCATACATGAGTACATAAATTCAGATTGCCATACCCCATCAGCACGCAGACGCAACTGCCAGTATAAATCCCATAGTGTTACAGAGAGTAGGAGCATCAGCAGTAATGGAGAAGAATAGGGTTCGAAGATATGATTCGAGAAGTATAATTTAGTAAGGTAAATATAGAAGGGGAAAGATAGAGATGATGAGGAATTTGGAAGGATAGGATCTGAGAGAACACAATGAATGAATGCACCTGTGGCATTGAAAACGGTTTTGAGACATATCATTTAATATCACAAACCATTGATTACTTTCATCTCGCGGACCCTAACCAGGTAGCCTACATCTATCTACCAACGCGACTCAGTTCACTTGTCAGTGACTACATGGATTTGTGCCATGTATTAGTTTGGCCAGCCCTAGCTTTCTTTCAACCTACATAGTTAAACTTTGACATATACATAACTTTCAAATTCCACCATTTTATTTCACCTTCTTTTATCCGACTACTTTCTTGTTTATTCTATGTTTTCCACAGACTTCATCAATGCCATTTTGAAAGATGGAAAAAAGGGTAAAGATTTCACAAAACCATGATGAACAAATCTTTAGCAACAATTGAATCATTTTAAGAAAGAAACTCCATTCACGTATCACTGCCTACGTTTAAAGAAAAAAATCCTCATTAGTTGACAAAAATTAAACGATAATAGTAACGTACATTTCTACCGATGAATAACTATTTCCATTAATATTGATGCAGCTAACTTCGCAAAATACAAATTACTACTTTGATTTTAAAAAAATGCTCAAATATTGTGAATATATAAACAAAAAATCTACATTTTCAAATCATACGAATGTTTTTTTCATTGTTCAATATTCATTTATAAGTTACTTGTTTAAATGAAATAGAGAATTCGATCTGGTTCTTCAATTTTGTTTTGAATTTTGAATGAAGTACTTTTCATCTTTTTGTTTTGAAGTGTCATTTAGAAAGATAAAGTGATAGTTTTAAATGATTAGATGTGTGAATTATTTGTTTGAAACTAAGTTCCTAATAAGAAGAACTATAGTAAGTGAAGTTTAACCAGGTAAGGGAGATACTATCCATGACATGAAAAAGTAACAGAGGAATATTATGCAATGATGTGAAATACTGATTATTGTATTCTGACTTAATCAAACGACTGGAATATAACTCTTGAGGAGATTAAAACAAGAAAGTCCACTGCTCTCTAGTTTTCAAGTTGAAATAACTCCATCACACAAATTATTTTCGAATTATTCAATCTTAACAAGAAGTCTGATGCAACTTAACCATAAATAAACGTCATAATGAACATAGTTTTCACAATACTAGCTTCAGTAAACGCTGAGCAGTTACATTTTATACAATTATTTTTCAATAAAAGGCAAACAGAGATTTTTATAGACATGTTTACAGCAACTGAAATCAATATTAGGAGCAGATGATAGATTTGTTTAAGTCTCAGATCTCGTTACTAGTATACTTATAAAATACGATCAGTAGTGAAATGCTGGGAGGGCGTTTTCTACGACTTGTCCATTGAGCATACCAGCGTTCCATTGTTGATGCTCATATTGAAACGTGAACTGAATGTTTATACCTTCGAATACTGGCATTTTATCACCTTACCCTATTGACTAAAAATATCGCGAACGTCTAACAATCGGCCGTCCAGTGCTTCCAGGTTTCTAATGGTGGTCGAACATTGGTCGATTCATGGTTTCAAAAATGAGTTACATATTCGTCAAGAAGCTGAAACTATACAGTATAAACAAGAAACGAAACATATATAGAAAATGTTATCAAGTAAATTCTTGAATGATAGTTTTCGACTATCGATCCATTCCAATCTCTTTATAAACTGAAATCATTGCGTTAACGCGAATAGTGTTTGACTGCTTATGTCATTCTTGCATCATTCTACAACATGGTGTCGAAACACACAGCTTTTATTGATAGAATACTATGCAGAATGAATAAGAATTAATCAATAGTGTCGGTAAATGTGTCAGTATCATCAGTCAGTAACAACGTAGAACTTTGTACGTACGTACGTACATCAGTTCAGGTTGCCATACCGCATTAACGCACTGACGCAACTGTCAGTTCAACTCCGATAGAGAAAGAGATAGTAGGAGTATTAGCGGTGATGGAGAAGATTAGGGTTCAAAGATACTATACAAGAAGTATCATTCAGTGAAATCGATTTGAGAAGAGAAAGGTATAGGTGATGACGAATTCAGAAGAATAGAATTTCATAGAGCACAAAGACTGGATGCACCTGCGCCATTGCAAACGATTTTGAGCCATGTCGTTCAAGGTTTCTAACCCTCAGTTACTTTCATCTCGCTGACCCCAACCAGGTAGCCTACATCTATCAACCAACATGACTCAGTTCACTTGTCAGTGATTTCATGGATTTGTGCTGCCCCTAGCTTTCTTCTATTTTTCTGAAAGATATACTATTCAACAGAGATAATAAAATCATCTCTGTTAGTATTTAAAGTTATATATGATAATATTGATATTAAGTAAGATATCATCCGTATAAGAATAGTTTTCTTCGTGATTAAAACTACAAAATCGGTAAAAAATAATTTATCAAAAATACCGTATAAATAACTTTAAAAACGTTTTCTTTTTTTCACTGATAAACAATAAAATACTTTTTTAATAAATCTGTACAAAACGGCGGTGAAACCGCATTATTATGAAGAGGGAAAGAGAGACAGACAGACAGGCAGAGAGAGAGAGAGAAAGGGGAATTGAGAAAAGCGCATTCTATACAAAACAAACATTGTATTAGTCAGTTGTTAAAGTGTCTACATGAATGTACAATCCTGAAATTGTGTATACATTACTGAGTAATTGTTTGTTATTTTTTCTCCCAGTAAACAAGTCAGCTTGTTTCATTTGTAAACAAACACAAAAATGAATTTTACACATATTCACACACACACACACACATGCACACGCATACAATGAATACAGTCTAAATACAATGAATGGCATAGTAATATGCACTGCATAGATTGTACAAGATTGTACAATAAATATTTTTTTTAAAAAAACAGATAGAAATAATAAAGAATGTTATTCAATGCTCGTTGAATCATTCGACGATTGTTGTTCTTTACGTTGTTGTAAATGATGTTTTCGTTCAGCTTTTAATTGTCTATATTTAATAGCTTCCTCTTCTAAACGTTTCTATAAAACAATAGAGAAATGGTCAAGATGAACAATAATTATTATCAAGTAAAAAAAAGAGTTGAATTGATGAAATGTGAGAAATAAAAGAGTTGAACTTGATTAACACGGAAGTCGATCAATATAGTAAGATGTATAGGCCAAACACGATAGTTGATCCCTTCTGAGAAGGTTAATCAATGTAAAAAAAGTTTCAATTCTATTAGAGGTTAGTTAAAGTTAAAAACAGCTCAATGGTTGGTAACGTCCTAAATTGTGAAGGCAAATGTATTATTAGGTTTAAATGCCACATGGAGTATATTAGTCCCCCAGTACCTCCTACTTACTTACTTACTTACTTACGCCTGTTACCCTCAATGAAACGTAGGCCGCCAACCAGTTTTCTCCAACCAACTATGTCCGACGCTTCCCTCTCCAGTACTGTCCAATGTTTGTTCATTCCTCTCATATCTTTCTCTATTTGTCGGCGTAGTGTGTTCCTTGGCCTTCCTCTTTTCCTTTTGCCTTGAGGGTTCCATGTGAGGGCTTTTCTCGTGACGCAGTTAGGTGCTTTCCGCAATGTGTGTCCTATCCACTTCCACCGCTTCTTCCTGATTTCCTCCTCCACTGGAATCTGATTTGTTTTTTCCAACAGTAAGTTGTTGCTGATGATGTCTGGCCAACGAATCCGATGTATTTTGCGTAGACAGCTGTTAATAAACACTTGTATCTTCTGGATGATGCCTTTCGTAGTTCGCCAAGTTTCCGCTCCATACAGTAGAACTGTCTTGACATTTGTATTGAAAATCCTGATTTTGATTTTGGTTGACAGTTGTTTGGAGTTCCAGTACCTCCTGATGGCTTTTAAACAAGTAGATTAGTACTACTGTCTTACTTCAACACCTTCATGTTTCATATACGTGAAAAACACTTACACACATGAAAACAAATCCCAGGAATGTGGAAACAAGTTAGTTTTACTGAAGATTTAAAAATTACAATTTAACTAATATGTAGATATCATGTTTACTCAAAGATCATCATAATTCTGTAGTAGATTTTTTTACAAATGAATCAAACAAAAACAACACATTGATTTACCCTATCTGCTTCCAATTTGTTTACATTAACTGGATGTTTCGGTCGACTGCTACTGCTACTACTACTACTAGTACTACTACTAGTAGTAGTAGTAGTGGTAGTAGTCATAGTCGTAGTTGTAGCTGAAGAAGACTTTGAAATCTCTTGATTTCCTTCATCAATAGGCATGTTATTGAATTGTCTATTATCCATGCTTTCAAATGTCAGTTTATCTTCATTGAATTCATTGTCATGCCGACGTTTCAAACTAGTCGTCACAGAGTCAATACGAGAAGCAGGAAGTATTGGTGGTTCACTATCATCATCATCATTATTATCATTATTATTATTATAGAAAACTGAATTGTCATTGTCATGATCACCGCCAGATTGACGGAATTGTGAAGATGATGCTGATGATGATGAATAAGTTGGGCCACGTTCAGTAATTGGATCTATAATAATTACGTTATACAAAACAAAAAGAAACTAGTCAATATGGGACAGAATATACATAGAATACATACATACATACATAAATTAGTTGTGATTGATCATTTTGCTTGTGGAGCAGTTATTTAGTGGTCGATGAGTCCAGCATTTAGTCACTAAGTCTCAGGTTCGAACCCAGTGTTTCATCTACTTCGATTTGGGCAGGTGGATAGTATCATCAGTCTTTATAATTTATGAATGAATGATTTGACCTATCGGTCGAATCTTTTGATGAACAAACACGAAAATATGCAGAACCATAAGTGGCAAGAGCCTGTGTTTACACCCATTCTTAACAGTGAGGAGTTAGAAATAGTCGAGAAGTTAGTATGTCTGGGTAGTTGTGTGGACGTTACTGGTACAGTAGCGGATAAAATCAATCTGCGTATAGTGAAAGCCAATCGTCGTGCTGTAAGTCGTAGTGCGTCTACAAATATGTTGTACCCACAGGGCTTGTCCTAGCTTTCGAATAAACTAATTAACCTTTTCTATCCGAGTTTTAATTCACTCGTATTTTGATCTTGTCAATGATTCGCTAATATATTGCTTGTTCTTATTCGAGTGTTAGCGTTTATTGCACGTTTAGCTTATTTTGTCTGACTATAAATACTTATCCACGCTTTATCGCATTGAGTTGGCATACTCGCCTTCTTCACTTCGTTTCGCATATACAATTTTTATTTTCAAGTCTGCCTGTGTGGACGGTTGCATGAAATAAATTCATCCGCAAAACCGTATTTGGCTTGTTATTACCGCCGTCGCACAAACAAAGTTCATCCAAGTAACGATTTGCAGAAATTGAAGGGAAGATTGATTTCATAGCATATTAGACTGTTTTTACAAATTTGAAATCATTAATCAATCATCATTGTTAGACCACCATTAGAAACCTGGAAGCACTGCACGGCCGTTTCGTCCTGGTATGGGACTCATCAGCAGTGTGCATCCACGACTCCTGCACCTCGCAGGATTCGAACCCGGGACCTTCGGTATCGTGCGCGAACGCCTAACCATCAGACCACTAGGCCGGCATCCAACGGTGTTAATGTCTAACTCTGATTGATCTAGGGATTTTGCGCGACCTCACCCATTTGTCTTTGGTAGTTACTGCCTACTCCCGACAGGGTTGAACTCCATTGGTCACGTCTTCTCATACCAGGACGAAATGGCCGTCGAGTGCTTCCAGGTTTCTAATGGTGGTCTGACAATGATTGATTGATGATTTCAAATGTGTAAAAACACAAACCTCCAAAGCTCTGCCTGAAAATATCGTAACAGTTGTCACTAGTGACCAGCTTCGTGAGGAAATTCTCTAGGTCAATAAAGAATCCTAAGCAAGGAAATACTTGATCTCCAATATTCCTGTGACTTGATAAGGAGGAGAGAAGGGTAAGCAAACGTATTTGTTGTTAATTTGTCTTACATCACCACAAAATCTCTTCTCATTATCGCATAACTTCACTAAGTCATATCAAATCACCATGTTTTGTGTGAATCGTATTGAATTCTGTTAAAAGAATATAATCATAATAATAAAATCAAACTAACCAGAATTCTCTTCAAAATCTAATGGATCATTTTCAATCTCTTGTAATACTATAGATGATTTCGATTTAAAATGTTTGCTTAATTGATGTGATACATCCATAGTGATTTGTGGAGGTGAATGATTCAATACATCATATTCATCTAACAAATGTGCATGTGAATGTTGTTGCTGCTGTTGTTGTTGTTGTTGACAATCAGCATCAAACAAATCTTCCATAGTTGGATCCATATCAGGATCACCGGATGGAGGATCAGGATTAGTTTCAATCGAAGATGATAATGTCGATACATTTTGTTGTTGTTGTTGTTGTTGTTGTTGTTGAACCAATGATGGTAATATCGTGGTAGAAGGAGGAGTAGGTTGGAGTAATGATGAATGAAGATTTGAATGACTTGAAATCGAATTAAACGACCCGATCGGTTGTATAGAATGTGATGTAAATGAATGAATCGGAAATTGATTATCAATTACAGCTGGAGTTGTTGATTCACCTCGAGATGATGTCATTAGATTAGAAGTTGGTTGTTGTTGTTGTTGTTGTTGAGCAAACATTGCAGCTGCCATAAATGGTGTATCAAAATGTGGTATTTCATCACGTGTTGGTGTACCAGGACCAGATGATGCAGGACTATTATTTGTTGATAATGGAGCATTACCTTGTTCTTGTACCGGTGGTAAATCATCATTAGTTTTATCAACAGGATGAATTTCCGGTGTTGGTACACGAGGAGGAGTAGGAATATGTTCTAAAACTTCAACAATAGCTTTAGATATATGAATACGCTGTAGGCAGAAAAAAAGATATCAACACAAAGATTAATTAGTTAAAGTATCCATTTTAAGTGAATATATATAAAAACATGGTTATAATATTATTAAAATGGAATAAAAAGTTTACACTCTTTGATACAACAGTGATAATAAGCAGATTTATAGTAACAATAATAATAATAATATTTTATGCTCGTCAATTGATATACTTGAATGCTATTTTACAAGGTCACCTTACTCGGTAAACGAGAGCGAAGACAAATGATCCAGTCACATGATTGAATTGTTCAAAAGTAGCTTGTATTCATATTCACATACTTTGGATACCACGAAATCACCAGCAAATATATTCTTTAGTATGAAATAACTCTTCTTCTCTGTGACGGGCACTGCTGATATACTTGAATGCTATTACTAGTTCGCCTTAGTCGGTAAACAAGAGCGAAGACAAATGATCCAGTGATACGATAGACTACTCGAATCCGAGCGTCACAAGGCTCCATTAAGTAGAGGAAGAAGTCTTGATGATGCATAGAAAGTGTATTCTACAGGCATTCACAAAATCGAGGTCCGAAAGCACACAAATTGAGTTTACTTATACATCATAGAAACGCTCTTGAGAGAGCCAGAAAATAGCGTACTGAAATAATACAGTGAAGGATTTTCCAGGTGGGAAATGTCATCTCAAGGTCAACTGATCAGACCATGAGTAAAAGCATAAAATCCAAAATTAGGACCTTTGTCAAGTGAGTTCTGGGGATCTAACGACATCCAACAAATAATTTAGTTTCAGACATATAAGTAGAGAAAAAAATTAGATCAGTTCATGTAATTTATAAACTAATCGAATTTCATATATTCATCATTAACTTACTTGAGCTGAAGAGAAATTCTCAACATAACGTCTTACTTGACCACGCATAGTTGGTTCCCATTGAAATACAGCTTCTAATTTATCCGGTGGTAATTGCAATAGAACTTGATAACTTTGTGGTCTAGTTTTTGCACAACAACGAATAAATCCATCCCATAGTTTTTCACTTTTCCATACCTAATTTCAAAAAAAAAAAAGAATGATAATCATAATTCTGATCTATAAATATGAATAAAAATGTTATTAACAACTTAGTTTTCAGTTAGCTACAGTTTCCATAATTTCAGATGTGATATTAATCAGTTGCTTAGAAAGTAAAATTTAGAATAGGAATTCAAGTAACAAAACACAAAATAATCTTATCGGTATTCATACATCGAAAAGTGTTCCGAATAAGACACTGAATGAATATCCTAACTCTAACCTTTTAGAAGTATGTCAAGACAGACAAAACACACACAAACTTGATCTTTAAACAAGTAACTCAAAATTCAAACAATACTTTACCGACATCTATTTAGTCAGGTTATTTTCAAATCAAAGAAGTGTACACATTAGGTGTAATTGAAAGACAAACACACATAAAAATAAATATTTGTTAATTAAGTTGTAATGAATTTAGAATTGGATACAATCAGATTATATTGTTTTGTTAACATGCCCTGTCAGAGTAAAAAACATTCGTAGGTTGCTTTTTTTCGATCAAAGGTGTCTCGGAACAATGGTTCGGAGTATCATAGGACAACCGAGTAAGCAATCCTATAGTCGGGAAACGAGTACTAGGTAGTGACGGCACATCAATAGATGAAATATTGAAACTTCATCAGTTGAGGTGGTTGGGATATGTGTTGTGTATGTCTAACCACCGATTGCCTCGTCGAGCCATGTTTGGCGACGTAGGAATAGGTTGGATGAAAGTTAGGGGTGGCCAGACCAAAACATGGTAGAAATCTATGAAGTCACTGACAAGTGAACTGAGTCATGTCAGTAGGTGTCAATTACCTGGTTGGGGCCCGCGAGATGTTAGTAATCGATGGTTAGAGACCTTGAATGACATGGCTCAAAACCGTTTGCGATGGCGCAGGTGCATCCATTCTTTGTGTTCTCTCAAATCCTAACCTTCTGAATTCCTCATCACCATTGTCTTTTCCTTTTAAGTTTATTTCACTAGATTCTACTTCTTGAATAATATCCTCGAACCCTAATCTCTCTGATTACTGCTAATACTTTCACTACCTTTACAACTACAGGAGTCATGCATGAATAACATTAATTTTTACGAAATCAGTGATGAGATTATCAATTGGAGTTGTATTTCTGGATTAAATAAACATATGATTTATTATTCAATTTGTAATAACTAAATTATGACAATTTAACGATTAAAAAAAACAGTACAAAGCAATAACACACAGAACAAACCTGTTTACGAATTAATCGAACCAACACATTGATTACATAACCAGCCAAACGAGGATGTAAAGCTAATGCTTGCATAACAGTACGCATAAATAAAGTAGGTAGTATAGGTTGTTCTAAAAGTTGACCAATTGCAACCGACAAACGTTCTTGTGTAAACAATCGACGTTCAGCAAAACAAACACGACATGCATGAAGTATAGATTGAAGATTTACATAAGGTTTTGTCGATTTGCCTAAAATACAATTTAACAAATAAAACAAATGAAATTCAATGAAGAGTAATAATTAAAAGGTCATTGGTTGATATACTCGTCAACTGATCTGTTTGAATGCTATTACGAGTTCAGCTTACTCGGTAAATGGGGCGAAGACAAATAATGCAGTGACACCATAGGTTATTCTAATCCGTTTGTCCACGGCCCGGCTAACTATATCAAGAAGTCTTGATAAGGCGTAGAAAGTGTATTCTACAAGCATCCAGAAAAACTCGAGGTCCACAAGCACACAAATCGAGTTTATTTATACATCATAGAAAGGCCCTTGAGAGAGCCACAAAATAGAGTATTAAAATGACACATCAACCAATGACAGTCAAGGATTTCCCGGGTGGGAAATGTAAGCTGAAGGCCAACTAGGCAGCTTATGCTCGAGAACAAAAAATTCCAAAGTCAGCATCTTTTTCAAGTAAGTTCTAGGGATCTAACGTCCGCAACATTGATAAGTAAAAATATCAATAGTTGTCAATTGATGACGACGAGTTGAACATCTATAAACAAAGAATCACAGCGAGAATAAAAAAACACTTTATGGAATCGAAATTCCCGACAGTTTAATTCAATAAACTAATAAAAGATTTACCGTCATTTGATGGTGGTGCTGATGGATCTTTGGCGAATTCCAACAAATGAATAGCAACTAATAATTCTTCAGGTTTTAAAGGACCAAGAGGAGATGGTTGATCATGTAAATTAGATGGAACATTTTTGACACCTTTAATTTGAGGAGCATACTGAGTAGCTACACTGGCTAGAAAAAGGTGAGAGGAAGAAAATCATGTTAATATACAATATGCTACAATATATTTTAATAAATACAAATGAAAAATTCTAGTGGTATATTTTCTGTGATAAATAAAAAAAAATTAGACTATGAGGGGGAAGGAAAAGCCCATACTACAGTTAAAACATGCCTTCTCATCGACTGACAATAGAGACGACAGATATACAAACATTATTTTTTCAATACTGAACAAGAATTTCAATCAGTTAATCATCAGTAACGTAAATGTATGTTGATTCAAGTTGCTATACTACCACCACATTAGCACAATGATATGAAATCAACAAGGTAATTAACATAAGAGATTGAAATTAGGTAGTAGCGATCAAAACAAGAAAGTTTAAACATTAAGAATATGGTAGAAAGATAAGTGAGAAATTCAAGATTGAAAGAATGATACAGAGTGGATACATCTACACCACTGTGAATGGTACGAAGCCATTTCACCGAGATTCCCCAAACATTGATCTTGACTATCGAATGGACCCTGACCTATATTGCTCAGAACAACAATAAATGACTTTGTGGATTAATACTAGATTGAAAGGATTTGATTGTGACCACTTTGGTCTCGTGTGCTTTTATGGGTATTAGGGCGAATGTTACTTTTAGGTTACCCACACTGTGGAAGGGTTCTGGTTATCAGAAGGGGTATCGGCCTCATGACTTCCAAAGGAACTCGGCTTTCATCAAGAGACGTCATAACTCTTCTAAATAAAGACATTCTAATTCCCAGAGCTGAGTTTATATGGTTTGAAGTAATTTTCCTGGTTAGCGTTCTTTAGCGGGTTAGTTTTTTGAGGGATGGGGTCGCCAACCACAACCCTCCACATTTATCCGGGCTTGAGACCATCAGTGGCCCCGAAGGGTCTACAGGCGGTGTTCAATATTAGATCACTGAACCTGCTTCTACATTAGCAAGCATCTCCCTACAAGACAGGTAGTAGTTAGGCATACTCAAAACAAGTCCTAATCACTTCAAAACAGAACTAAGTCATTTTCATGTTCTAAGTCGATCAATGAATCTATTAGTAAGAGAAAGTGTTATTTCTAAGAGAATATCTTTAACGAAATCAAATTAAATGAACAATGAGCAGCCTTTAATCTTAGCATTTTTCAATCAACCTGCTTGGTAAAGTAGGGCTTGAAAGAGAGATTGTTTCAACCAATACAAATCGACCAAGTCATCATGATATGCGAACCCGATTACCACAGTTAGTCTTCATTACCAAGTCTGTTCTCTGTTTTCACAACTAATTCTTACCTTCTATCTTCAATATCATAAACATGCGTCACTAATCTTAACGATTTACGTTCACACAATGCTATTTCAAGTATAATGAAGCTTCGCTCTAATAATTATTCCGGTTTGAACGATCAAGTAGCATTATTGACTTTCTCAAGAAAAATGTAGTTTAAAGCTGGTGAAACAAACTTATACCTGGTCACACCATATTTTTTCATTATCATGATGAAATAACAATTTTATCTTGGTAATAATGCTAATTAATATAAACGATTTTGAGTATAAAATTAGTAATAATAATAATACATATATGAATGACAGAGTGTATTTTGTTATGTTACGAATAAAAGCTAATAAGTAATTTTTTCTACGAAATTTGACCGTCACAGCCACAGCTGAGACTTGTAAACAGAAAAAGAGGTTCTATGTTTTCGGGAACTATAATTTCATATTTAAAGAAATTATTTACACGTTTAGTGAGATTTAATGATCAATATATATATATCGAACAAGAAATACATGTTATGAAGGCTGCTATGATCACTTTTCATAATAATGTGTAGTTTATGATCAGTAAAAAAACATACACAGACTAAGTTAATACAGGTTGTTTGTTGGTTATGCCGCCTTTGGTGTTTCAGACGCATCATCCGATCAACAAGCAAGATCGATCATTCTTTTTATTATTTAGATACATTAATATCGGTACAAAGGAGCACGTAAAATATTCATCCTCCACTGAAATCAATGGATTATTGAGTGGGTTGGAATACTGTCCGGCTGCAAAAACCAAAGTAGGTAGTTTATTTAGGCAACCACTCTCTAAGCCTTTGACTTAAAGGTTTGATCCACAAGGCAGCAAACCAACGTCACGAGATACAGTCCCGTGACAACTAGTGACCAATATCGGGTTCACACACCATTTGTTTCTTCAAAATCCTCGAGCTTATGTACACTAAAGGTTTGAAATCAGGATTTCCCGACTCTCATAGGTAGATCCTCCATACCCACCAGCCTGTTTAGAGCGCCGGACATTCGAATTTTCGTCCTCTCCATTTTATGAACGTCACCCTCGCTATGCGAAGGCAATGATTAGGACCTCCCTGACACGTGGCCATTTGAGAGTATTTCAAGAGGAAGAGAAGACTGTCCCTATTCTCGACCGTATCAGGGCATTTGGAGGCTTCTTATCATGAAGTTCCATTTCGGCCAAATAGTTATTCACGAATAATATTGAGATGAGAAACAGTGAAACGATGAAACTATTAAATAGTTTGATTTCGGAGTGCTTCCTGTGGGTGTTTCAAAAAATCGAGACGGTAACAAGATGAGAATGTATTGGCACAAAGAGGATGTCGTTTGAAATCAGATATTATTGAAGTCAGTCAGTCAGATGCAATGTAGAACTTTGTACTTAAGTACATCAGTTCATGTTGCCATACCACATCAGCACAGAGATGTAATTATCGATTCAAATCCAATAGTAGCAGAGGTAGTAAAGGTATTAGGAGTAATCGGAGAGGTTAGGATTAGAAGATATTATTCAAGAAGTATGATTCAGTGAGAAAAGTTTAGAAAGTCAAGACTAGGGGTGTTGAAGAATCCAGAAGATTAGGATTTGAGAGAACACAAAGAATAAATGCACCGGCGCCATTACAAACGGTTTTGAGCCATGTCATTCAAGGTCTCTAACCATCGATTATTATCATCTCGTGGACCCCAACCAGGTAGTCGACAATTACCGACATGGCTCAGTCCACTAGTCAATGACTTCATGGATTTCTGCCATGTTTTAGTCTGGCCGCCCCTAGCTTTCTTGCAACCTATTCCTACACTACAAAACAAAGCTCTTCGAGGCAGTCGGTGGTTAGGCATACGCAGCACATGTCCCAATCACCTCAACTGATGAAGTTTCATTACTTCATCTATTATTGAAGTGAATTATTATATTGTCAATAACAATAATCATAATGAACACAAAACAAAAAATCAAAGATATATATAAACTAACTGATCATTACAATACAATACAATACAATACAATAACAATACATCTTACCATGTAATAATCGAGTTAATACTTCTTTGACAACTTTTTCATTTAATTGTACTAATTTTGGCAATGCACTGATTACTTGTTGTTTAGATAGACCAACTATGACCGGTATAAGACAACGAACATCATGTACACGTTCTTCATATAAACGATAAACTCTGTCAACTAATGATGATGGTGGAATAATAACAGCTGGTCCAATTGACAATTGTCCTGTATTGCTTGAATTAATAAGTGTCGCTTGTGTTTTAGTCGGTGTTGTATGTAATTGAACAGATTTACTACTACTACTACTACTATGCGCATTAATACCTAATAATGAAGTATTTGTAATTGTGGTGGTAGAAGTAGTAGTATTAGTAGTATTGCCAGTAGATGGATTAGTAGAAGAAGCAGCAGCCGCGGCAACAGCAGCCGAAGCAGAAGCACTAGCACTAGCAGCAGATGGCCAATCAGTAAGTATATGTATCATACGTGTGATAAGAGTTTCTGCACCAGTTGGACATTCACTAACTAAATTATGAAGATCTATTGAATAAATGCCAATATCACGAATCTAAACATTTTATATAAATAGAAATAATAGAGAATGAGTATTAGTTTTTTTTTTTAAGGTTTGGTTTGAATTATCACATGAAAAAAAAACAGTGTTCATTACTTGTTGAGTTAATGCATAAACACAAAAGAAAGGAATTCATACACAGTCAATTCTTTGATGTAACCAATGAATGATGAAGTAAACACAAACTACTGTGATGATCAGTCAGTCAGCTGTAACGTAGAACTTAGTACGTACCTGTATCAGTTCAAGTTGCCACAACAAATTAGCATAGAGAGATGAAATTGTCCGTTTAAATAACTTAGTAGTAGAGGTCGTAAAGATCATGTACAAAGAATTTTTTAATACAATGTACAATAAGGAGATAAAATTGCAATGGTTAATGAAGTCTAATGACAGGAATTGACCATTATTTATGAACGAAATGTAACAAACAGACAACCGTTTAATGATATGTAAAACAATATATAATTTATTAATGAAGAGGATTGGTGGAGACTGAATTATTTTCATAGTTAAAATCATAAACTGATCTTAGCTAGACCACCATTAGAAACATGAAATCACAATAAGCGGCCATTTTATCCTAGTATGGGACTCGTAGGTGGTGCACATCTATGACTCTCCCCCTTGAAAGAAACTTGAAAGCTAATAATGAACGGAAACACAATCAACCTAACTTGATTTTGAGATCAAGGTAGTATTGTTAGCTCTCGCATAATGGAATCTCAGTCAAAACTAAGTCTTGAAAGTGTATGAGCTTAACTGAGTTAATACTAATGATAATACTATCAATATTATTAGTATACTCTGATATGAACTGAAAGCGAAGAGTAAGTAGTTACTTCTTTTTAGGACACGATGATGGGTCGGGTGAGTTTCAGTCAGTCAGTCAGTTACGACGTAGAACTTCGTACGAGTTCAGGTTGCCATACCGCATCAACACACAGACGCAACTGCCGGTACAAATCCCATAGTGTTAGAGAGAGTAGGGGCATTAGCAGTAATGGAGAAGATTAGCGTTCGAAGATATGATTCGAGAAGTATAATTCAGTGAGATAACTTTAGGAAGAGAAATGTGGAGATGAAGAGAAATTCAGAAGGTTGGAATTTGAGAGAACACAGAGAGTGGATGCACCTGCGCCAACGCAAACGATTCCGAGCCGTATCATTCAAGGTCTGTTACCACCGGTGACTTTCGTCTCACGGACCCCAACCAGGTAGCCAGCATCTACCAACACGGCTCAGTTCGCTTGTCAGTGACTTTATGGATTTCTGCCATGTTTTCGTCTGCTCGCCCGTAGCTTTCCTCCAACCTATTCCTACATCGCAAAACATTGCTCATCGAGGCAGTCGGTGGTTTGGTATAAGTGACACATGTCCTCACCACCTCAACTGATGGAGTTTCACTACTTCATCAATTGATTTGCCATCCTTACTTAGTGCTCGTTTCCTAAAGACAACATTGCTTACTCGGCTATTCCGGGATATACGAGTAATGCTTCGAAGACATCTATAATCGGAAACTAGTAGCCTACGAATGTCTTCTACTCTTACCGGCCATGTTTCGCATCCATGTAGTAGGACGGAGCGAACTGCTGCGCAGTACACTCGTCCTTAAATAGATTATATGCTGTTGCAAGCGTAAGTGACTAGAAAAGTTAGATCAATTCAATAACTATATATAAATATATATATATGTATATATATATATATGATTAATTTATATACATATTGGTTCATTTTCAGCATTTAAGCTTCCTACGCGCATTCCTATTCTTCTTTTTTTTCGCATAGCCAGTTTGGGTCAAGTGTGTGCAGAAATGTGCAATTCTAACACTAAGTTAAACTACTACTAGTAATGGTAGTAGTAGATCATAACAATTCTTTTGATGATATTACAATAAATATACAAATAAAATACAGAAAAATGTTTTCTAAAAATAATTTTAAAGAATTAATCACTGACTCTACAAAAGATAATCTAGACTTTTTATTTCAAAATAAAACAATCAATATTTGTGGAAAATAAAACATGGATCTTAATTTCTGAATTACAACGTTCAATTTCTAAACTAGCATCTAGTCCTAATGATAAATATACAACACAAATAAGTTTGATACATTTTCTATTAGTCATTCATTATAAGCTGAAGACATTCACTCATCATTCATCATATATGCGCATGAAAGCGGATAATGCAACCTGATCAATGAAAATCCAAGGAGACAAGGTAGACGTTGACAGATAGAATCTATACTCTAACCGGAGAATTCACACCTTCACTATGAAATTGCTGAACACATTTTATTATTGGTTATTTGTTTTGCATAAACAAAAAAGAAACACACCATAATAATATGAATAATAAAAGTGACCAGAAATTAAACTAACCGGTAAATCAATCATTCTAAGTAGACATCGTTTTATATTTGGAGAAGCTTGAGTATAAACTTCAGCCAACCTATTTATTTATTGATTCAAAGAAAAATACAAACAAAAAAGGTACAATGAAATAATAATCTACGTTTGAGCACTAACTAGCATGCCAAAAAGTAAAGTATAGATATTGAATGCAAGAGACTAATTATAGAAATCATCAACCAATCATTGTTAGACAGTCATTAGAAACCTGGGAGCACTGGACGGCCGTTTCTTCCTGGTATGGGAATCATCAGCAGTGCGCATCCACGACTCCAGCACCCTGCAGAATTTGAATCCAGGATCTTCGGTCTTGCGCGCGAACGTCTAACATCTCATGAGTCCCGTACTCGGACGAAACAGCCGTCCAGTGCTTCCAGGTTCCAAATGGTGGTCTAACATTGATCGATTTATGATGTCAATAAATAACTTAACAATCTTGAAAACGCCGTAATGAATCTAATTTTAGAATGGTGAGTAAATTTAGGTAACGGGTTTAAAATAAACAGAAAAATGTAAATGAGTAGGAAATTTTTGTAGACCCTAAGTCAACAGCTCAACATCCAGTGTTCGAGTCCACATCCTATTTTAAATACGTCTTGTGAAGCAGTGGCAAACAGCATACCAGAATTCATCTATAATCCTGAATGTGGAAATAATTTTCTGACGTGGTTCAAACGTTGGGAAGATACATTTAGATTTGAATTCGGTAAACAAGACGATGCTTGGAAGACTCGATTGTTGGTGCGTAAGTTGGGAAGTAATGAGTATGCACGTTACGCTGACCACATACTACCGAAGTTACCTCGAGAGCTCAGTTTCGAAGAGACAGTAATTCATCTGTCAGATATTTTCCGCGAATCATCGTCATTGTTTAGTATTAGATATCAGTGTCTAAATCTGGTGAAACACAAAGATGATGAATATACGGCCCTTGCAGACATCGTCAACAGAGAATGTGAACGGTTCAAGTTACGCTCGTTGACAGAAGACCAGTTTAAATGCTTAATATTCATCAAAGCTCTTCAGTCGCCGCAAGATGCTGAAATCAGAACTAGACTTTTGGTTCGACTGGATCAAGACCCCAACGTCACACTCAGAGCGTTGACAGATGAGTGTAAACAACTACAAAGTATCAGGCACGACAACATGTTGATTGAACAGGTAAATCCTAATTTAACCAGCAGTAGTATCAATGATATTACTAGGTTAAAAGTCCAGAAGCCGAAAACATCTTGTAACAAACCAACGACGGTATGTTGGTTATGTGGTGATTGGCACTACGTACGGTTCTGTCCATTTAAAAAACATAAATGTCAGATGTACAATAAACGTGGACATAAAGAAGGCCACTGTCAACCAAATCGTACGTCTCAGCCCAGGAAGAAGCACAAACGTACTCGACATGTGGTGAAATTAGCCGAGTCTAAATCCCTTTCTCTGGTAGCTGCTTTTCAAACAGAATATGACGTTCGGAGAAAGTATGTTACTATCCAGATGAACGGTGCATCAGCTCGTTTCCAAATCGACACGGCATCAGATATCACCTTAATGTCTAGAGAAACGTACAACATGCTGGGAAAACCGCCAATGAAGCCATCTAAGAAAACAGCTAAAAGCGCTTCAGGTGGTGTGTTAAAACTGGTTGGTGAGTTCCAGCGTGAATTTTCCTTCAACGGAACAAAATGTACAGGAATATGCTATCTGACAGAACGGCCAAACCTTGATCTTCTTGGTCTAGATATGCTAGAAAAACCGGGAATAATGGATTTACTCATTAACAGTGTCTGCAGCGTATCGTGTTCATCAGTGGACACCCCGATACTTAAAAAGAAGACAGGTGAAAGGTTACAAGATAAACGGAAGAGAAATTCAGCCTCTGTTTTTCAGAATAGCCTTGGCTGCTGTACCAATATGGAAGTTCACCTACCGGTGAAAGCAGATGCCAAACCTACTTCACGTCCGAGACGCCCTATACCATATGCCGTTCATGAGCCTCAACAAAACTTACCGATGGGAAAGCAGCCCAATCGACGGTTGTTTAAAGATATGGCTCCTACAAAGCAAGCGACTCGTAAGAGTACGGGTGGCAAGGCACCCAGAAAGCAGTTGGACTCTAGCACCAGATCCTACGAATTTTCTCAAAGGGGAGGTGTTAGTGGGACATAGATGGAATTCAAACATGACTTAGTTGCTGCGCGCTGATTGGCTAATTTCCTATCCAATCAGCGCCTGATCGATTCTTGGAGAACAGGGTAGAAGATTCTCGTATTGTTAGCTGCATGCTGATTGGTTAAATCTAATCCAGTCGATCACGTGAATTTCTATCCAGAAGCTTCTCATGTAAATGCTATAAATAAACTAACGTTGTATCTATTTTTGGCCTTCACCTTCGCCGTCACCTTTGGCTTCATATTTTAATTTAACCTTGTTATTTGGAATATAATCTTTTCCTGTTCAACCGTGTTTTTGATTCTTTGGAACTTGTCCAGTGTATTGTGGTCAGAGAATACTAAGCAATAGGATTTAGCCGGAAATTATATCTAAGCAAGCATTACAACAGAAACATAATCAACTTATAAATGCAGAATATATTGAGAGTCATCGGTTCAAAAGGTTTGTTTGAGTCAGAATTATTAATCACTGTTTTTTAAGATTAGATTTACAAACTCAATAATTTCTTAATATTACTAAAATATATACAAATACGTAAAATAGTGATACGCTAAAGATAACTTTTTACTTTTAGATTATTGCAACGAAATTACTAACCCATTAAATATCAGTCAGTCAGCTAAACATACTCAACGTAGAGCTTGAAAAAAATGTTCACCAGTTGCCATACTATATATATATGCACCAAGATGATATCATCAAAGACAAACTCCAAAAAAGCATAGGTAGTAAAAGTAGGAAACAGAAGGTATTATAGACGATAAGGCTCGTGGAGTAACGAAATCCAGTTTTAAATTCATACAATTCATCCATATATTAGTCGCCTGCTTCAATTTCATTATCCAGGCAGTATCCCAAACCCACTTACAAATCTAATAATTTGTGCAGCGCATAATTAGTTAAAACGCCCCGTTTGGACCGATGTTTTGTGTGTTGAAATACGTAAGAGATTTAAAGATGCACTATCGGAGAATGCTAGTCTTCTGGACTCGGACCTCGTACTTCTGGATGCTCGTAGAATATATATTCTACTTCGTGTCAAGTCTTCTTCTTTTACTCAATGGGGGGAGGTTGGGATACTCGGATTAGAGTAGCATGTCGTGTGGCCGGATCCTCGAGCTCGTTTTCCGACTAAGGTAAACTCGTACTAGTTTAAGCATATCAATTGACAGGTTTACGTGCTAGTCAGCTAGTCAGCGACCTATGCTACAACATTAGAGGTAACAGGTGTAAGTAAGTAATTAAGTAAGTAATCACTAATTAACTATGACTTGTAAGCCAATTATTAGTGTGGAAAAACAAACAACATACTGATGCATAAGTCCAGGACTTTGAGGCATTAAACCAAGAAATAAGTGTGCACAAGCTTGACACGCTTCATCTGTCCACGTGGATGGTATTGATGATTGATTAAGAAATGGAAATATATCTGGAGTTGGACGAGGTTGTAATAACTTTTTAAGCATTTGTACAGCAAACATCTAAATGAAGAAAGTTGGAGCGGTAATATGGAATAATATACATATATTATTCTCAGTTACAAAAACACAACAATACAATGTGTTTATGCATAAGCTACTAACTATCATAATAAAACATGATCAAACTTTGAAGCATGCATACTGGCTGACAGATACTCAACGACGCACATCCAGTCAATAATGTACAATCTTTCTTCAATTTTATTAGAACAGTAATTGTAACCACCATCAGTATGTAAGCTAATCTCAAAAAGTTTCTAACTTACTGTTGGACTAACACTCTTTACAGTGAAACAGTGGCTGAGCGATTTTATCTATGTATCTTACTCAACCTACATAAGATCTGATAAAATAAAGGAGCGAAAATAATGCGCACCAAACAAATGAAGATTTGTCTACCAATGTAAAAAGTCATTGAACTGTGTCATTTTTGAGATCTAAATCAGGAATTCGGAACGAACCAAGAGATGCTACTCTTGTACTACTCTCTTCTGTAATATAATGTAATGTGTTAAAAAGTAATTAACTCTCTACTTTTTCCAACCAGACCTAGTTTCGAAAAATAATTTATAAAGTGGAAATCAATTACATGGCATTCGTAAAACACATAAAAGTCATAAAAACCATTGTTTCGAAATGGCGACACTAAATGAATTATAGTCACTGCATGCGAATTTCAGCATGTAGTATTCCCATTGAACATCATATTACTCCGGTGATAATGGTGTTTGAACAAAGAAAGTCACCGAATATATTCAATTAGGAAGGGCTTAGTTTTGTAGACATAGAGAAAAACTGCTTCCATCGACATAAGTAAACTCATCATCTCGTCACTCATACAACCACTAGCGTTTATAGACAGCTACCCAGATACACAATCTTACCGACTATACCGAAGTGCTCACTACCAAAAGTGAGTGTAGGCACAAATTCTTGCCAGTCACACAGATGAACTTTGCACTTAGATTTTGGAGAGTTAATAGTCTACTTATCAACCCATTAAGTAACATTTTAATATCTTGAATATCATCACACACTAAAACAATATCATTTTCATAATCAAGATCAGAAAAATTTTCTCTACGTAAACCATCCACACAACCATCACTACCACTACTACCTACTTATCACAGCTGTTTCCATGACGTCACCGATGGAAAAGTTGGAGGGTAATCGTGAGATTGGGCAACCCTAACTTGCCCCACTGTTTGAATGTAACAATGAAGAGACATGGTTGTATGCCCACGCTCTATCTGAAATATTTGTATAAAGCGTACTGAAGATATAGATAAATTTCTTAGACACATACTACTTCTTCAGCGGACAATTTCAGAAGACAGTCCTAACAAACCAATCGAAGGAGGATCTGATATCAAGAAAAATAACAATTGTTGGCTTGCAATAAGTATGTTAGTATTCTAACTATTGAAGGAGGGTGAAGATTCCATCAATACATCATCAACCAGAATAATATTAAAACATCCAGCATTCACCATCTGGCTTAAAAAGAGCCATGGATGGGTCGTCCAACACCGATGACCTGTAGCACTTTAGGAGTAAGGATGCTACTTCATTAGGTGGATAGGTAGTCACAGACTAAAGAGCACAGAGGAGTCTGGCCGATGCTGCTAGCAGAAAACTGTTAGTGAAAAAACTCTGCCCATTGTCCCTAGATGTCAGTAATCGTCATGCCATCGTCCTCAGAAATTGTTCTATTGACATTAGGTGTCTTGTGCAGATGCATAGCTGAGCCGAAACAACTACTCTTACCAACTCGTTAGGACATTCCAACCACTAGGTTTTTCGGTCTTTCTGCAAATTCCGCAAAAGTTCCTTAAGTCAGAGTCTATGTGTATCAACAAACTCGCAATTCCGCCGGAGTAGAACCTCAAGAAACTCGCATAAACCCAAAGTTTATAAACGGCATTTTACACAAAACCGCAAGCCACTCCAAAAACAAATACATCTGAAATCGTGAATCGATCAATGTTAGACGATCATTAGAAACCTGAAAGCACTGGACGGCCGTTGATCAATTCATGATTTCAAATGTGTAACTTAACAATCTTCACAACCACAAAATGCAAAAACAAATACATAAAATAATACATTACCTCTATATGATCTTGCCATCTCGGATCGGAACTTGCCAATTCTCTTGTAGCAGTTAATGCAGCTTTACGAATTTCTAATCCATCCACAGAACAAAAATGTAATAACATATTCAAAAGATCTTCTCGTTGACTAACTGGACGTGTTTCAATCAATGTACGTAATATCTAGTCAAAAATATACATTAAGTATAGTAGAGTATGTTAATTCTTAGTTAAAATCTTACATTTACAATAAGATTAATTTACTAGGGGGGGGGGGGTCGAAAGAATATGGGAAGAATTCGAAAATAAAATTGTAAACTAAATAGATCAGTATAGTCTGTTAAATTTGCTGAACAAATACAATTATTAGGTAAATAAAGTGTGATGATAGTTATGAAGGATGTAGAAGAATAAATGAGAGAAATAAAGGACACCAGTAAAAAATATGTTGGTATTTTTATAAATAAAATTGAAGTTTTAAACTTCACATATTCACTCTAAAACTTCAAAATCTTTATCCATATAATATAGCTTATATCAACACTCTATTACCTCATCGATTGTATCATTCAGGGATACTTAAAACACAGGTTGACAAATGTTTTGACATATTAATAAAAACATAATTAATCATAATTAATTAATATTTTCTACACTATTAAGGTGATACTGACAACTGTATGATGACAAGTAGTCAGTACATACTTTTATGTTGCAAAGGAGACACCAATTTTTAATCTATCATCAGTAAAAACACACGTATAAGCCATCAGATTACATAGCTGCTACCTTTCAACTATTCAAAAATATTAAATTAAACCTATTTATATTTCTAATGTGATCATTGTCATCAAATAATAATGAGTGAATTAAGTATAATTCACACTAAAAAGAATGATATTTCTCTTTTCAATGTTCACTTTTATGAATATGCACCTTTTTGATAATCAACCTTATTAATATGCGGCGCTCTTTTTCTCTCATCCTCATTTATGTGAACAATCAGGAAGGGAGAAAATAATCAGTTGATTATGATAAAATTATCTGTGAATAATAAGATCATCAGATCACATAAGATAAATAACACTTCTGACTGTATGTCAACTAGACTGTAGGACTGAGTTTAGTTAGTCAGTCAGCAACAATGTAGAATTTGGCACATATGTGCATCAGTTCAAGTTACCATGCCATATTAGGACAGAGAAATGAAATTATCAATTCAAATCCCATAGTGCTAGGGGTAGTAGCAGTTTAAGCGATAATCAGAAAGATAAGGGATCGAAGATATAATTCGAGGAGAATATCCCACCGGTCACAATTGTTTCACGGACCACAACACCACTTACACTACACTTACCAAAATGACTCAGTCCAGTAGTCAGTGACTTCATAGATTTGTGCCATGTTTTGGTTTGGTCGCGCCTAGCTCTCTTTCAGCCTACTCATAAAACATCAGACAACATCGCTCGTTGACCGAGCCGGTGGTTAGCCATGCGTAACATATGTCCCGATCACTTCAACTGATGAACATTCACTACTTCACAAATTGATTTGCTGTTCCTTCCCTAGTACTCTTTTCCTAACCCCAGTGTTTGAGTTGGTAATCAATTAGTGAAAACTTTCACCTATGCAAGAAAAACTGATGAATAGGAGCATCCCGATAAATGCCATTTCACATTCATTGTATCAAAGATGAAAATGTGAATAATTCACTTTCATTAACAAAAAAAACGTATCATATACAGAAATTTTTAAGACAACAAACTATAAACAAGTTAAAAAGAAAACGGAAAAATACTTTCTTTTTGTTGTTGCATAAATAATAAATTTTTCATAACTAACCTCAAATCCATAAGTTGCTTGTTCTGGTGATGAACAATATCGTTTCAATTCATTTATAGCACCAGGAGTTAAAAGAGGTGCTTCAATTATGAATCGACTAAAATAACTAAAATTAAAAATAAATAAGAAATAAATATAATTTTAAAAAATTAGAGTAATGGAGATCAGTGTTTTTACACGTTGAAATCATCAATCAATCATTGTCAGACCACCATTAGAAGTCTGGAAGTACTGGACGGCCGTTTCGCCCTGGTATGGGACTTATCAACAGTCCGCATCCAACGACTCCTGAACCTCGCACGATCCCAACCCAGGGCACCTTTGGTCTTGCGCATGAACGCCTAACCTCTGGACCACTGGGCGGACATCCAATGGTGTTAATGACTCTGATCAATCTAGGGATTTTTCGTGATCCCACCTATTTGTCTTCGGTAGTTACTGCTTACATCCGACAGGGGTTGAATTGTACTGGTCACGTCTTCTCACTAGAACTCCGAGAATTTCCTCATGAAGCTAGTCACTAGTGAGCACATTGTACGATATGTGTATATAACTAAAATACAGTCCACCACACTGTTTGAACTCATTAGAAAGGTGTTAATGCTGAAATCTCATATTACAGCATTTCTGTTCCTTTTTTCTGTATTGTCGCTACCTTCCGGATACTTATATGCTTTCTCTTTATATATTATCAAATAAAACATGATAGTTTTGTAACAGCTAGTGAAAGCATTCAACTTTCTATGATCAGCTGTGTATCATAGGTTAAAGTGTTACACTTGCAAACATTAAATTTTGAGCTCGAAACACTATCAAATTACGATCGGACTAGGCTTCTGAGTGCAATAATTGCAACCAGTAACTAGAAACATTGGATGATACATAACACCTGAATCGCTTAGATTGCCGTAGATGCGTACACCTTTTACCTTTACTCCCTCGTAGTCTTAAGATTCGAATTCCGGAAATTTATTTCTGTTTCGACACTTCAAGCATTATCATTGATTTTACTATCATTTCAACTGTTTTCTTATTTGCCTTATCAATATCATCACATCCTGATAATATGGTATATCAACTTAGATTTATGGAGATCTGTGTCAAAGCCTTTACTGATGATTATGATAGACACATACATAAAACATGTGACTCAACGTCAAGTAGGAGATCTGTCAATCGGTTCCCGAACTCAATCAATTAATTAGGTTTCCACATTATGTATATTACTCATAGTAATGACAAAGCCAAACATACTAGTTATTACATTCAATATTACATCCTCAAAAAACAGGTAAATATCAGTACAGAGTTAATATGATGTATGAATAATGAATAATCTTGTTTTAACCTAATAAAGTTACTTAGATGAATCAGTGACAAAGATAACTTGGAATCTCTTTTCAAAAACATATCATGAAAAAGTATATAATATTCCTTTAGAAAAACAATAATTATTAAAGTAATTATACTTGTACTTTGACATGAATTCCGAAACCATTGGAGAAAAAAAAAAGGAATTCAATCACAATCTCTAAGTTAAAAAAAACTATAGTTCCGTAAAATGTAAACTAAACTTTGAACAATCTTTACATAACCCCTACATTAATAATAAACATGTGCTCACTAATGACTGGATACAAATCCAGGGGACTAAGTTCAATTCTAGGTATTGGTTGAGTAATACTAAGTTATGCGAAAACAGTTGCCTAATGATCATTGATTTCCAACGATAGATCAGTGTTAGTGGGACATAGATGGAATTAAAGCATAACCACGTTGCTACGCGCTGATTGGCTAATTTCCTATCCAATCAGCGCCTGATCGATTCTTGGAGAACAGGGTAGAAAATTCCCGTGTTGCTAGCTGCATGCTGATTGGCTAAATCTAATCCAGTCGATCACGTGAATTTCTATCCAGAAGCTTCTCATGTAAATGCTATAAATAAACTAACGTTGTATCTATTTTGGCCTTCGGCTTCTTATTTCCATTTAACCTTGTTATTTGGAATATAATCTTTTCCTGTTCAACCGTGTTTTTGATTCTTTGGAACTTGTCCAGTGTATTGTGGTCAGACGATACTAAGCAATAGGAATTTAGCTGGGAATTATATAAGCAAGCGTTACAACAATCAGAGTTAAAAATAGTACATAATGTCAATCAACATTAAATGGTAATAAATTGAAAACAATCAATAATTCACCATAATTATTATCATCATCATCAACTTACTGTTGACGTAAATCTGGATTAGATAATTTTTGAAGAATTGCAATCAATAAACAATCATAAAATGATAAACAACCTAAATCATCTGGCGGTGATAATGATACTTTTAATAGATTTAATTTTTCTTTGGTCGATTTCACATCACCAGCATTTCTTAATTGTTTCACATTTGATTTACCGATACCTTTAGCATCGACTTCTTGTTCCGTCTCTGGTTCTTCTTCCTCTTCTTCATCTTCTCCTGTCTCTTCATCATAATCGTGTTTCTTTTCACGTTTTACTTTTTTCTCATCATCTTTTAATAAATACTCTGAATTATTCTTGTTCATACTGGGAATTTCATCTACGGATGATAGATCATCTGTACACTTGGTAGTTTTTCTATTTTCTGTATTTGTTAATTTTTCCGAGCGAACAGTATCTTCCGCAAGGTCATCATTCTTTTTAGAATCTACTGCTGACTTGTCAACAATATTATTTTCGAAATTCGATGATTCAAATCGTTTACGAATTTGTTCACGGATTACAGATAATTGACGACGACGTGTTTCCAAGAATGAACTGAAACCGATCAGCTGAAAACCACGATAACGACAATATTCTTGCATGAGTAATTTTGATAATAATTCAAATCCATAACGAAGATTTTGGATAGCATGATCGATAAGTACTAAAGGTAAGGAGAATGAAAGAAATGGGTTTTTTCTTATCGTGTAGGGAAAATACCAATTTAAACATGACTAAACAATAAAAACAATTTTTAGGGGATTATACAACATTTCTAGTGAAGATATATACATATTAGTTCCGTAAGATTTGAGACAATGAGCAGTGAATATCCACAAACTCCAGACCAGTAATTCAATCACTACGCCTAATCACCCTCCCTAATTATCAAACTTAACATCCGGTGATTAACAAAAGGTGGGGATGAGAGGTAAAATGTTGAGGTTAGCATAACAGTTTAATTTATGAGAACCTCTACGGATATTTCGAACAATAGAAACTGAGGAGAGATAAGAGTATCATCCAAAACACAGGTTATTTCGAAACAGATGAGACCGATGTAGAAATTTTTACGACTTCGGTTACCGTATTCATTGGACACACTGTATATATCAGACATTCTTAGATTTATAATATATGATAAATTATTCAATATGACTTAGTAATCAAAACTACTAAATACAATTGGGGACAAGAATATAAGTTAGCATACAAGCTCACATCGAGGAAACTTGAAGTTTCCCAAGAGTGAACTCTCTGTGTATTGAACATTAAGGTCTAATTCTTAACAGACTGTAGGTTAAGACAAGAGATTCAATTTGACTATTGTAAAAGCTGATTTTGACAATTACTTAATATCACTTCAGAAAAACATATGATTAGTCATATATATATATATATATATATGCTCAGTAAGCATTACTTTCACCAAATACCACAAGTTACAGATATATATATGATACTACTAACTTTTATGCATAACAAGTGACAAAATCTGCAATTGATAACATAAATAACAGACAATGAAATAATGTCATCCAACCAGACCCCATGATGAATTTCAGCAGAGCAAGAACACAAACAGCCAACAGAACAGAATGAGTTTATTCAATTCCACAGTTTCTCATCAGCTTCATACAACCTAAAACTATATGTATCATCATTATTATCTACGTTAACTCCGCCTGGAGTCCCTCTGGGGCTACTACCGGTCCCAAGACCAGAATAAAGGAGGAGGGTTGTCGGCCTCATCCCATAAAGTACTAACTCGCTAAAACAACGCTAACCAGAAAACATAATTCAATCTTTCAGGTTTATTATTATTCATTTGTTCAATTATAATAACCTTACTAGGAGAGTGTTAGTAGTTGTATTTCAATTCAAGATTAATAGAATCTCAATGAGCAATAAATAACACAAACTCACATTCTAATTATTATTTGATAAATATTCTTCTGACAAAAATAAACAGACAACTAAAAAAAAATTAAATTCAATACTTACTATTATAAAATTCATTACCACCAAATCGACGTGTTGTTAAACGTGTTAATAATTTCATTCTATTTAAATCATATTGACCTGATAGTAAATCTGTTGTTCCTGGTGCAGGAACAATTGTACCATCAATAAGAGATTGACGACGAATAAATGAAATTCCTAAACCTTCTAAAATACGCATAAATGCATCACGAGCAAGTTGTCTTTGTACATCACGACTAAGGAAAGTAGTGACAGCATCTAGTGAGAAAGGACGGACAGGGGCTGGAGCTTGATAAAATGAAAGAAAGGGAAAAAACATTGAGACAGTAAACCACATTTATCCAGTAGACGGAAATGTTGACAGATAATAATGTGAACAAAAAAGAAAGCACAAACGAACTAAAACTGGATGAGTAAACCTTGTGTTAGTGGGACATAGACGGAATTCAAACATGACTTAGTTGCTGCGCGTTGATTGGCTAATTCCCTGTCCAATCAGCGCCTGATCGATTCTTGGAGAACAGGGTAGAAGATTCTCGTATTGTTAGCTGCATGCTGATTGGCTAAATCTAATCCAGTCGATCACGTGAATTTCTATCCAGAAGCTTCTCATGTAAATGCTATAAATAAACTAACGTTGTATCTACTTTTGGCCTTCGCCTTCGCCATCGCCATCACCTTTGGCTTCTTATTCCATTTAACCTTGTTATTTGGAATATAATCTTTTCCTGTTCAACCGTGTTTTTGATTCTTTGGAACATGTCCAGTGTATTGTGGTTAGAGAACACCAAGCAATAGGATTTAGCTGGAAATTATCTAAGCAAGCGTTACAATACCTTGAATAAACAACACTATAACTTACCAATTAAATCCGATTGAGGCATTGTATTTAAAGGCATAGGCATTGAAGTATTTGTAAATTGATTAAAAGGAACAGCTAAACTGGATGGTGTCCCAGCTACACCGCCTAATGTTGTTTGAGCTTGTGATGGTGTTGGCACCATTGTTGGCATCATCATCATCATCATAGGCAATAAAGGTGGTGGTGGTTGTGATGGATTAAAATTAGGCACCATCATATTTGGTACTGTTGGAGGCATAACTATGGAATTTTGCACAGAAGTTACATTTGAAGCAGGAAACATAGGCATAAGACCAGTTAAACTACCACCAGGTGGAGGCATATTCAAATCTATGGATTCATTAGTCACTGATTGTTGTGTATTATATCCAACAAGAGTTGATATATTCATTGTTTGAGCACTATGTAGTTTACGTGCAGCATTAGCTCTGATTAAAGCATCCTCAGCTTCAGGATCATTTTCAGACACTGTCTGATCACCTTTCAAATGCTGAAATGATTAAAAATAATAATAACTATACATATTTCTGTAATAGTTTAAAAAAGAAACAAGAAACCCCATCAAATTACTTAACTTAGTTGATTCAAATGTAACTACTAATTTGTTGAGAAAATGTTTATACATTTGATTTTGAGTAAAACCGTTTTTTTGGTGAGGGCTGATAATAACCTAAGCAATTGCGCTAATCAAAATAGATTTCATACTGTTACATGATTGACAGGATTTTGTAACACAAAAACAATTTACCATTTCAAGACTAATCATTGAGTAAATTGTCAACGTACTTAGTCAATCAATATGAGATTAAAAGATAAATCATATCAATATAAAAAGCAGTGTTTTATACTTTAAACAGTAGTAGTGTGGTGTGAGCTACTTATAAGTAGTATATGACGTGAGTGTCAACGTAATGTCTGGCATCGGAAGATGGGGGAAGATCAAGCAAGAAAGGAAGAGTTAGAACACAATGGAATTTGTATGAAACGCATGAATAGTGACAATGGATTGATGTTTGGCAACAGGAACAGTCCAGTTCGATATGATGAACTGATATTTTGCAAATGAACAATTTACGATATGGTTTTCCTATTTTACTGAGTAACTCTGTAATTTTCGTTAAATACAATTCGGTTGCCCCACCTGTGTTCTCGTTCACTACAGTAGTAGCTTTGTTCACAGTTGATTAACGTCATTCAGATTTGCTTATTATGTATGATTTAAACACAATCATTTAAAACCTTAACATAAGAAAAACAAGGTTTATTTATTATTCATTCAATCGAATATATATATATTAAATAAAATCTAGGCAGCCAACTTACCATACGTCGTTTTTTAGATTTACCAGATTCTTTTTGTATATCACCACTTTGTTCTATGGTAGTACGTGATTCCGGTTTTAATGTACGTTTACGATTTGTTTGATTACTTACATCATGATTATCATCAACTGGAATTAATAATAATTCTAATTGATTGATTCTATCTAAAACTTCATATTGTCCACCTTCACCAGCCCATACAGTTAATTGTGCAGCAAGCATACGTGCTAAATGATGAATTTGTGCTGATGTCCCAGCTGCTGCTATTGGTGTATACGTGGAATGAAATGAAGCAGGCATTTGATCAGGTAAAGTAACCATACTGTGGAATGAACGAGCAAAAAAAAAAGAAAAAAATAGAAGGCATCAATGCAGTACACTTTGACATAAACTATATACACAAACACAGAAGGCATTTTAAGTTTAACATATTTTGAATAATAGGAAAAAATGACTGTACAAATATACGGTAGTATAAAAGTTAAAAAAAGTACTGATTAAAAACAACTAACAACCACTAAATTATACAGAAAACTCGGAAATTAGTAATGCGAAGTGAAGTAAAGTAGAAGCCAGTTAGTCAGAAGAATAATAACAAACGAATCTATGAAGGGAATTTAGAATTTAAAATTGCCAAAAGAAGTCAATCAAAGGTCACAGTAACAATATAACACTAAATACAAAGCTAGATTACGTAGACCGCAAAATAATCCAATAAGCTAGCTATAGTTGTGTACTCTCAGTTTCATTACACAGAGTATAATGCATCAGGCAAACGAGACCTGTCTACATAAAGCTGGAGGTTTGTTGAACCAGTTCGTAACTAATTACACTTATTTTGCTGTAGTACTGTACGTACTAGATTATAATATTGTATCAAGTACTGGCATCAATGTCAGTCAGTCAACAACAACATAGAACGTCGTACGTACGTACATCAGTTCAAGTTGCCATACCACATTAGCATAAAGATGCAATTGTCACTTCAAATCCCATAGTAGTAGAGGTAGTAAAAGTATTAGAAGTAATCTGAAATTTTTGGGGTTCGAGGATATTATTCAAGAAGTAGAATCTAGTGAAATAAACTTAAAAATAACGAGATAAAGGTGATGAAGAATTCAGAAGGTTAGGATTTGAGAGAACACAAAGAATGAATGCGCCTGCGTCACTGCAAACGATTTTGAGCCATGTCATTCAGGGTCCCTAACCATCCATTACTATCATCTCGCGGGTCCCAATCAGGTAGTCGACACCTACCAACATGACTCAGTCCACTTGTCAGTGACTTCATGGATTTCTGCCATGTTCTGGCTTGGCCGCCCCTAGCTTTCTTTCAGCCAACGTCGCTCGTGGAGGCAGTCGGTGGTTAGGCATACACAACACACGTCCCAACCACCTCAACTGATGAAGTTTCAATACTTCATCTATTGACCTGCCATCTTTACCTAGCAACCGTTTCCTAACAACAGCATTGCTCACTCACTGTAAGAATTCCATGGCAGTGGCTATATATGGGCGTGGTCATATGAGAACATTTCAAAAGTGGATTCTCTCCACCCATGGCCGATCCAGAGCATTTGGGGACTCAAAGCTGCGACCTCTGTAATAAGAGTCCAACACGCTATTCATCGCGTGATCCCTAATCATAAAATAAACCAGCCAATTTTCAAAAACCATACATGGTACTGTATATGTTGGACCTCTAAATATGCAAAGCTAAATAATACTATAGTGATTTATATGTATGTTAAAAGCTAAAACATTTAAAGGGTAAACTCCATGGGATAAATAAACTTTTGAATTCAATTATTAGGTATCGTATCGTCCATAGAAACCAGACTTACCTGAGTAAAACAAGATCAGCAACATTAGCTGTTGTCAACTTAGGGACTACTTGTGCAGTAATCAAATCAATTTCTGGTATAACAAATGTCTGACCTTTACCATCACTAGAATTAACTTTTGATGATGCATGCTTTGTACCACTACTAGCCGTTGTACTACTAGAAATACGTGTTCTCTTTTTCAGTCGTCTAGATGAACGCGGTATTTGAATATCTTCGTCATCTTCATCATCGTCGTCATCATCATCAAATCGGAGGGCTGCTTCCGCCTTAAAGTAACAAAAAAAATTCATGAAGGTAATAACTAGGTAGACAAAAGAAATTATAGTAGTGAGTAAGCATTCCCATACATTTTTACAAGATAATGTACAATCCGTATTCACTAATCATAACTATCATGAACACAAGACTTTCACATTCCGCCAGGATTCGGTATGTATTGTCGTACGAAAGGCATCAAGATAGATCCAGATACAGATGAGCAATGGCCTAAGTCACCATACCGCATTAGAACAACAAGATAAATGGAATGGTGAGGTAGCAATAATAATGAAAAAGACTAGACATTGGAAATAGGTATCGATAAGATAAAGTGAAAATGTATGTACAAAGTGATAATGGAATTCAATTTCGGGATTAAGATAAAGAGTGATTGCATCTGGACCACTGTGATCGATTCTCAGTCATGTCACTAAAAGTCTCCAACCACTAATTATGGTTATCGAGTCGACCACAACCATGCAAGTGGAATCTACCCGCATGGCTCAGACTAACAGTCAACCATTTTATGGACTGATAGCATGTCTTGGTTTGGTCATTCTTAATTTTCATCCAAATTACTGATACACCGGTAAGCATCTTACATAGAACTAGAAGGTGGTTAGGTTAACCTATTTCTCATATTTTATACGTACCTTATGCCTGAAGTCAAACATTGCTCGCTTGGTCGCTCTTCAATGGGCAGGCAATGTTCTAAAGGTACTTATGATCAAAATCTTGCAGCTTACGCACGCTATAAAGTATGGGTGAGAGAGAGAGCTGTCTGAGAAGACATCCAGCAAATTTGAAGCTTTTGAATCAAAACTTCGAAGAGTAAGATATCGAAATTATTTCAAAAGTTGCCTTTTTAATGTATATAGCGACGTAAACATAAGTTGTTCATTTTATTAAAATCGTGAAGTACACTGACATATAAAGTCATTTAACCAATCATTAATAGAAAACTTCAACATGGCTTAAAATCAATTGCAATCAAGTACAAACCAGATTCCCGTGGAGGAGGAAATCAGGAAGAAGCGGTGGAAGTGGATAGGACACACACTACGAAAAGCACCTAACTGCTTCACAAGACAAGCCCTCACATGGAACCCTCAAGGCAAGAGGAAAAGAGGAAGGCCAAGGAACACATTACGTCGAGAAATAGAGAAAGATATGAGAGGAATGAACAAAAATTGGACAGAATTGGAAAGGGAAGCCCAGGACAGAGTTGGTTGGAGGAAACTGGTTGGCTGCGTATGCTCCATTGGGGGTAACAGGCGTAAGTAAGTAAGTAAGTACATTCCTCCACTTTTCATCATCCTTTAATCCTTGAACACCTTAACATTAAACACTTTTATTTTAATTCCAATTCATTGATTTGATTTTCGTCTGATGAATTTTTAAAGCACAATCTCAACAGTTTTTCTTTTATTTTTCTCGAATCATCACCCGAACACTTCTAAAGCTCGCTTTTGTATGAAAAAACCAATGAATGAAATGATGTAAATTACTGGATTTAAAAAATGAGTTAAGTGTTCACATTGTACTTCCCCCGTAGTAATAGTGTTAGTGTAAACAGAAATCAAGAAGGTTAAAAAAAATAGTTATAGTATGAAGTTATTTACTGTTGGATTAAGTTATCAGGAGGAAATTAACAGAATATCCTAATAAATGCGGTTGGATATCCTAGAATACATATAAATTTTTCAGAGCTGACCCCGTCGTTGTTGATTTTTATTTGATAGATTGTGTATTTTGGCAGCTTCAACAGATTCAGAAATCATAGTGTTCAGGTGTGCGAATTCGAATATTAGACACAGTAACCAGTAACTTAGAGATGTAAAATTTACGAAGGATATGCACTTTTTTTTAGAACTTACCTCAGCTAGTGTGAAACCACTGGAAGTTATGGGCTGATTTTGTTGACCAGACGTTGGGGTAGCACTTGAAGCTACTGGCACTGTCGAAACCGGTATCTGACATTCATCTTCTGGTGTGAAAGAACTTGTAAGTGTAGTAGACACAGAAGATACTACTGGAGTGCTTGCTGATGGCAAAGTCGTTTGTGCATGAGTAACGAGTGGCAGCTTATCATCAGTTGCAGGAAGACTGCTTGGGGCGACTGAAACAGGTGGTTGAGATTGTATGATGGGAGGTATACTGGGCTGTTGTTGTCTCATATCCACATCACCATAATCAACAAAATCTGAATCCGAATGATTCGGCATAAATGTGCTTGGGTCTGGGTAAAGGCGTGCACGAGACAATTCAGTATGACTTTGTAATGCTTGTAGAACCTTAATGAAAAAAAAATACGACTTTCTCAGTAATGCGATATAATATAGATGAAAGAGCTATTAACCATTAAATTTGCAAATTCTATTTTTTAACTTAAGTCTTTTCAGTGATCTAAATCTACATATTGATATCTGTTATAATTACAGTTCGTTCGACAGAAAAGATCAAAGACTGAGCCTTGCGTAGTGAGTAATCATTTTCATTTCTTAGAGATTATTGATACAGTGGCACAGATATAAAAAGTGTTAAAAACTGGGTATCCATTGTTGATACATTGACAAATATTGATTAGTCAATAAATGAAATGGTTATCGATTCGTGATAGTTGATTGATGGCTTAAATAATCACTCAGTTGATTTACGTCACTAAACCAATGAATTGTTCGTTCGATTTTAAAGCAACGTGGTACATACAAAACCTGAAGAGTATATAGAGTGTGTACAAGGAAGAAAAGTTATCTAATAAGCCTCCGAGTTTGTCATGGTATCGTGGTATGAAAGAAAGCTGTGCAGGACTGGCTCCTGTTGGTCCTTCACAAAACACCTGGCTGGGGTCCGAGAGATGGTGCGACTCGGTGGTTTGAGATGTTACCACCAGACATGATTCGGAATAGATACCACTGGCGGTCCTGCTGTAATTTCCTTTTATTTTTTTATATAAGTGGGACGAACTTCCTCAACTGATTGGTTGTATTTTTCTCAACTGCTTCCCCTATTGTTTTCATTGTTGTTCACAAACATTAATTACCACTTATTTTTGTTCCTCTCTTTATTATACTCACCTTTTCTTCATCTTTTTGCAACCTTACTTTTATTGTGTGACACATATATTTGGTGAGTATCGATCTTTGTGCTTAAATAAACAACATGACTTTGTTATAGTTTACGACAACACCCACTATGCGGAAGGTGGGATGATAATAAGTCTCAAAAACATTATCTTAACAACTCACAAAATAGTTTCGATAGATATCGAAACAGATGTCCTCAACAGTTAATTCTACTTCCACAGAAATATCCATAAACGACTCTGTCGATATTTTAAGGTTTATATAATAAGCTTATGTTAATGTGGGCAACACACATTCACATGCATAACAAAAAGGCATAAATCAACCAGTATGAAGCACAAACAATGCAATAAATTGACTGAATTCATATAACAGACGTACTTCTGCATGGGTAGCTCCAAGATCAGTTAGCAATATTGTAATACGACCCTGAAAATCTGATAAAGCAGCCGGATGTCTGAGTAACTGAAGCAGACCATTTTTCAGTTTTTTCCGCACCGAACTAACTTGATTATCCGAGAAATGAGGTGGTAATGTTACTACGTAGATTATAATGTAGGGAAAAAATGACAAACATTTGCTCAACATTATTAAAATGCATACATACAAATAATATGAATTAAACAAGTACACTAATCGGACAGGCGAAAAAAGAAACTGTTATGTTACATATCTCTTGCTACCGATCAAACTTTACTGGGCAAAGGGTGTAATATTGTTGTGTTTCGATGTTGCAGTGCAGCATATTTATTAGGGAAGAAGCTATAAGTAAGCTCTAGCATTTTTATTCATTTGTTAGTAAGTCAGTCAGATGCAACGTAGAACTTTGTACATAAGTACATCAGTTCATGTTGCCATACCTTATCAGCACAGAGATGTAATTGTCAATTCAAATCCAATAGAAGAATAGGTAGTAAGGGAATTAGAAGTAATCGGGGAGGTTAGGATTGGAAGATACAATTCAAGAAGTATGATTCAGTGAGAAAAGTTTAGAGAGTCGAAACTAGAGGGGTTGAAGAATCCAGAAGATTAGGATTTGAGAGAACACAAAGAATAAATGCACCGGCGCCACTGCAAACGGTTTTGAGCCATGTCATTCAGGGTATCTAAACATCGATTATTATCATCTCGCGGACCCCAACCAGACAGTCGACAACTACCGACATGGCTCAGTCCACTAGTCAATGTCTTCATGGATTTCTGCCATGTTTTGGTTTGGCCACTCCTAGCTTTCTTCCAACCTATTCCTACACTACAAAACAAGGCTCGACGAGGCAGTCGGTGGTTGGGCATACGCAACACATGTCCCAACCACCTCAACTGGTGAAGTTTCAATACTTCATCGATTGATCTGCCATTCCTGTTAGTAAAGTCCATATGGAAGTAATAGCTAATAGTGATTATAAAGTTTGACTCAAAAGGCACATTTTACATCATTTACATTTCGTCAACTAAGTGTACTATGTGACTGGTAAGTGTTTCTTTAGCTGTGAAGAGTCATGATTGCCACATTTGGGATCCGGGTTACAAATAATTTGTAGTACAAAATAGAAATCCAATCTGACTGGAACATGTTTAGTTTATACAGGCTTATTTTGCCCATTCGATCGACGTACAAAGGGAGAGTATGATGAAATATGATTTATAGAGTACAACTAGAATACAGTTGACAAGATTATAGACATATTCAGTCGATACAACAACCCAACAATAAAGTGACAGGACTGAAGATGGCGGTAAAATCAAAATATTACTTACCATGAACTGTTTCGAATGCTTGAACAACACGATCCATAAATTGAGGTCTTTGCTTTGCGATGTTTACCAATGAATCCATGACTGATTCAAGAACTGGACATGTGACCGATCCAGAAGATATGCCAGGCTTTCCACGTACTGGCCAACTTGACAATCCTATAAATAAACGTTCAGCTTCCTCAGCTAGCCGGTGGGGTCGAACTAAACAGATACCTGGGAGAAGTGTGGCTGAAGATGCTGCTGTACTGGCTTCTAGGATGGCTTGCAGTTGGGTGTTAGTTAGTGCTGGAATTTGATCCAAAGATAAGTCACTTTCATTTTCACGTGGTATTTCAGAATTAGGTAACCGACGTGAATGCAGAATAATTACACACTAAAAGAAAATAAGATATTTTCAGTATTGTATATGTTCAGCTAGTCACTAAGTAACAAGTTTAGTTTCATAACAAAATTTTAAAATTGTTTTTCTACCATAGAAAAAAATGAGTATTTGTAAAGGATATGATTACAGTAGTAGAAGCTTATGTATCATTCAAAACCGATTTTTGTACTCGACTGTAAGTCAAACTTTCTGTGTGAAGACAGGTGATGATGACTAGCTGTTGATTCTAAAGGAGAAGCACTATTTACATTTTCAGCCATATGATTTAGGATCCATTAATTACTGAGCCATTCCTCAATGTAATGACTTCGATAATCTTCATTACGAAGTCACTGTAGACCACTGTTTTGACTGAACGGTTCGTACAATCAACATTTAAGTGTTAAACTGAGGCAGCTTCGAATGATATCCATAAATCTAAGGAAACAACAGTGATGTGTGTGTTAGTAAGGTAAACTATAAGGTTAGGGATAAACAATGGATCTCAGCAGCATCTACCGAAGTGATAGATGCTTGGAAACTCGTCCCATAAGGCTCCGAAAATAATGAGCGGAGTCCGATCAAGAGCAAAAGCGAGAGATGGAAAAGGCATTCAATGGATAATAGTCTAGCCACCAGTGCCATTAGGGCTCACATTATCAGGCTGTAAATTTGTTTTTTACTATTTGCAGAATGATAATAAGAAAATTCTAACACTATTGAAAAGAGTAAGGTTTCAGGGCTACGTAAATAAATAAGTTAATTAATTAGTAGTGAATATTGTGCGAGAGAACAGAGGTGGAAGCAAAGATGAGGAAACAGAAATTATAAGCGAAAAACTTTAAGTTAGTGATATGAGGAAACGATAATCATAACTACAACCAAGTTTTTTAAATGCATCAGGAACTGCTGGTTCAAGCGGGAGTTGATATTCCATTTGTGAACGAATTTGACAAGTCTCTTCTTAAAGACATCTGTGAAGGCTTTTTGATTACCAAATGTGAGAGAGGTAGGCAAAAACTACGTAAGAATCATATTGCTCAGTTGCACCTGTAGGGTCCACTTAGGGAAAGACTGGAGAATTCATAGAGAAGTAACTCATAAAATAGGATATAGAGGTGCAGAAAGTTTGAAACATGTATTGGAAAGACTAGCAGTTTACGTAGAGACTGGGGTTGTGTAGATAATGGATCCATCCCCAGATAGTCCCGCAAGAGCGAAAAAAATGTGTGTAGAGACTAATGCCAGAAATCATAACTCAAAAGAATTTTGATGGTTGTATGTAATGTTGTTTTTATGTTAAAAGGCGTGGGAGCGAATCGAAAACTTAATTAAGCTACGGAATTCAGCAGGGCGGGTGCTAATTTGTGGACGGTTTTTACCATTGAGGTTATATATAATTGAAAGCTTTTCAAAGTGTTACTTTAAGCAGGAACTTCCAATTTTGTTACACTATACGTCTTGCAAATTTTTTTCACATTTCTATGCAATGCATTTTACAAACAGACTCAATCTTCTTTCAGTTAGTTTCAAGTAGGAAGCTCAGTAATAGTAGCGTGTAAATGGATCACAAACTGAAACAATTCTATAAACGTAGTGTCTAATTATTATCTCTTAAAATGAACTAGCGTTTACAGAAAATACTGGAGAGCTAACAGATATCTGCATCGTTGTTGTCCGCTGCACCCTAATTATCGAAGACATGAAAACCAATCAAACCAGAGTCCAGAAACGAAAGATTTCGAAGATACAAGAAGGAAGTCATCGACGCACAGAAGTATATATCACTAATATTTACCCTCAAATGACAATCAAGCATGCCAGTTTATAAGCAAGATTAGATTGCTACAAATTCCACGACATTTACTATGGTTTCGCCTGAGGTAATCAGTATGTACGTAACAACCACATTTAAGATACTTTATAGCTTGTGACACCTTCAGGCACTGGTACATATTATATCACGGAAACCACCCTAAAACTCCTTGTTCACTAAGGTATATTTTTAATAGCTTCATACAACTCTACGAAAGAATGTATTATTTCTAGTGGAAACAAATCAAGTTCAGTGAAAACCTAACTTCTGTGAGTTGTTCTAATTACCACTGTTATAAATTCCATGCATTAAGCAATTATTAATATCATTAGGTCAAAGAATATTTCAGCGTTTCGACTCGTAGTATTGTCAGGCGACTCAGACTAATTCGTTATTCACGTTTCACTTTTAAGTGTTGATATCCTCAATCATTAAAGCGGGACGAATTCCGAACAATTAGCAGTAATCAGAATCTCAAACAGTATCACCCATTCTCCACTAGCTCATGACAATTCGAAATTATAAGTAGTCATTAATTACGGTCTCAAGCTATCATTCTAATTCATCCATGTGACTTGACGATGATGTGATGTGACTGATAGGTGATAAAACTACTAACGAAAATTCCCGTCGATAGGTAATAGTTGTTTTCTCATTGTTACCTTCATCGACAATAAATGATTCTAGTTTAGTTTTCTATTCATTGTTAGTCTAGTTATGGGTCCAACAACACGGTCATTTATCCAAGTCACCACTTCAAAAAGGTGAACAAATCTGTACACATTATCATCGTCGAATTTATCTCAACACTAATGCAAATTCATTCCACTATTGTAGGCATGTCCTGTCAGTTGAATTCCTCTTTGTTACACCCTAGACTTTTCTCGGTAATCATATAAGTAGCACAGTCGGAAACATTGTACAATACATCTTCAGTGCATATCTCTCATGGATGTACTGGTAGTTAAATAACCACTGTTCGAAATTCGCCTAATCATTAGTATTGACACATGACAAGAATGTTCGATAACAAATCATATCTACTTGTGTAAGTAGATAATATATGGTAAGCATTAATAAGGTCGGAAGAATCTTATCGTAACCAAATAAGTCATATCAAACTCAACAAACTAACTGGGAGGTCACTTAGCCCGTTATTGCGTTTACATTTGGAAATCAGTATACACGGACAGCATACCAACGTAAACACTAATTACCTTTCGAATTCAAACCGAAGACAATACTGTTATCAAAATTTATACGAGTGTTCTTTAATTTGATTATAATCATTATATTTGCAACTTGCGCTGTTCATTCGTTCACATACGAACCACCGGTAATTATTATGCATTGTAAAATGACTTGCTAAATTTTTTTTATACTGAATCATTCTTCATGATTATCTATCTCTCCAACAATCTTTACATGCCTTTTCATTTCGAAGTTATTTCATTACATTTCTACCAGTTTCTGTGCTTGCCCTTTGATTTTCGAAATGAAATTGACATTTTGACTTCCAACACGTTTTCTATAACTAATTGCTATAAGCTTTATGTGAGATTTCGAGTGAAGTATTAGTTCCTAACCATATGATACTTAAAGCCAAACAAATAGTAACTGGGGGAGCTTACATTCAAAGCTGAATAGCTGGTAATAGTAATGTAGTTTGCAGAAGGAAATACTACCAGGGCGGCTTGACTTGCTAATGCAGATGTGGTCGCTCAATTTAAATTCCTCACTTTTTCTATAAGTTATATTTATATAGCCCTAACCCACATGTGTTCTTCAGAAGTACTGAAGAGCATAGTGCCGAGTGTCACGATAGGACTGTGGTGAGCGATTCCGATACCAGATTGACTATGCTCACCACTAAATGTTCCATAATATCCCGTCATGATTAAAAGCAAAATAAATCCATATTCTAAGGTTTTATTGAAGGAGAACGTGGGCATTACATGGGTAGCAGCAAATAGAGAAAAATGGCAGCAACGCGATGAGAACGTTGCGCGCAAGGAGTCGTAGAAGTGTTTTTGGTACAGTTAAACAAAGCGAGTACAACAATGTTTATTTTTCACAAATCGTATTTTCTTCGCAGAAGCGTTCCACTACAGGACAAACAAGGATAGACAATAAAGTAACGTCAATGAAAAACCTTATAGGTTAGGTGGTAACCTCACTGCGAGTTTACAATCGTGCAATACGTTTATTATTCAAGTGGCATAGGTAGGAGTACTAATACTGGCTAAAACATAAGTCTTCCAGTCACTCTATAAAGCCGAGCCATAGATGGTTAACCAAGAAGGCTCAGGATTTTTTGATTGTGCATAGTCAATAATTACTAATTACCAATATAATGAGGCTACTGATCAACTGACTTGACCAACATAAACTCATCCTACACATTGGGACTGGTGGTACGATTGAAGTCGTCCCGTATCTACAAAAGACCTTTAAAATTTTGTTTAACTAAAGGGCTGGGGAGTGGAATAGTCTAAGATACTCGCAAGAGTCAGATCACTACATGAAAAGAGGTTCTAGGAACTACAGAAATGGCCCTGACGTCAGTTTTAAGGCTTAACTATTATCAGGTTTGCTAAATTTGAGAAAGCTTAACAACATCTAAGTGGATGCAAACGAACATTTTGATTAAGTCAATACTAAAAGAGCTACCGATGGGAAAATCATCAGAGCATGTCCCTCTCCCTTTAAAAAATGTGAGGAGTCTGTGTGAAACAGCGCGTTCTGGATTTGCAACAACTTCAATATGATGACCGAAAAATGTCGTTAAAGTAAGATACCGAATACTGCTAAATGCAATAAAATGAACGGAAGAGTACCTAGGGCGGCCTATGGGGATAACAAAATCGATTGAAATCCAGCTACTGGCGTCAAACACAAACGCGTCACCGTTAGGGGAAGTAATTTCTGATGATCTGTAAATTTAGTCTAAAAGTACGTCAGTAAAAAGGATTAAGTACTCGCTGGCTAAATAAAGTCTTCCTTAGTGAGTAATCAAAAGGCATAACTCTTTGTTTCATCTATGTTTCACGTCTGTTAGTAGACATGTTCACAGATAATTCGGAATGGACTACAGACAGCCACTGTAAAGACTAGTAGGGGATTTTCAGCCTTATATTTTTCTCGAAATATACATTTAAATAGAAGCTATTTTGAAGACAACAGAACAACGACAACAATCGTTATGTTCCTCTCCATCGTCAACCATACTCATCAGTTCGAACATTTGCGATGCAAATATGCTCGGTTTTATGTTTAAGCAAGTGGTTTTCTTTTTGAAAGGGCGGTCATGCGCAAAAAGTTCATTATCTGATCAGAATTATACAAAATCTTTCGGCGAAGCACAATCACATGTTGCAGACTGACCCTCTAATTATATGTAGAGAATTCGACTTATTAGATCACTGTATTAGTTGCTGAAAAGAAACCCAAATATTGTAAATAGTTGTCTAATGAAGTGGTTTTCAGATTGATCAGGCGAGAGGCGGAATATTCTCGAAATTTTTCCACTTTTTCTGTCAATTTCTTAACACCGACTGAACTGCCGTAGAGTCCAATGTTTGAACCACTCCTTTTACCATCATTCAGGGACAACCTGCCTGATACTGTTATGGTTGAATAGAGTCAATATATTGGTATATTTTAACCATTGAACCCACTCAGAAAGGTATCTAATCAGGATCTATCAAAAGGAAGCGTACATAAATATTCGTCATAACTTTTCAGCTGTTCTCATTGGTTATGATACCTTTTCTTCGGAGGTGTGTTAGGAAATACAGGATCTTACAAAAGAATGCTCAAAAGTTATTTTATTTATATGGATGTTAAAAGGTGTAATTAATGTCAATACATTCTGATTCATTCCATCACTGATCAATTTCCTTTCACTTTTCAGTTTCTTTAATAAATATATGGGGTATCATATTCCTTCGGTGTTTAAAATTCGAAGAAAACGCAGGATGACATTATTGTTTTTAATTCAATATGATTATTGACTAAGTTATAAAATTAAAGTGTAGAGCTCGGTTATTATTACAAATTCTGAAATACCGCGAGTTGTTAGTTTTACTAATTCACTAACAGTGTTTGTTGTTAAGGCCTTTTTTAAAATTAGGTCAGTTGTAGCATATCTACTAATTTGTGGAGCAGATTTTTAGATTGTCCTTGATTTACCACTGTTTACTCGCTTGCTGTTTAAATTGGATTATATTATTTGATGTAAGAGCTTTTTATGAGCCTAATGACTGACTAGCTTACTTATTTTTAGCCTCTTCTGGATTCACCTACATAATACACCAGATACTAATTTACCTTCAAGCCAGAAGTGATCTGTTTCATATTTTCACCTCATAGGTGGAATAAATTCGGCTGAAGTTTCGGCCAGTTGGTCGAGTTCCACAGTACACAAGCGTAATGGCGGAATTGCACTGTTTTGGACAAATCTTATGTGCTTATGGATTTCCAGAAAAAGATTTGTTTTGTAAATGGGGTCTCAAAGCTGGTATGAATTTCTGCTGTCTAACACTTTGCAAGGTTGTGCATGGAGGTTACTTGAAGGTGTAGCCGAAGGAGAGACCCAAGTTGATTGCCCATTGGTTGGTGAAAAAGCATACTTTTGCCATCCAATAGATCTTCATTTCGCAACCAAAGGATTACAGGGTAAATGTTCTTTCTCGCATTCTATTGACAGGTTGGCCAAAGCTTCATTTTGAGGTGTGGCATCACAGTTGGGTTGGTAATAACGAGCTATATGGTTACGGTTTCTGTCACATTCCAACATCTCCTGGAAATCATCAGGTTAATTAATTATTTTTAAATAACACTTAAAAGGTTACAGTCGCTACATGGAGACCAGTAGGTTCTGTTATGGACACTTTAATATCAAGGCTGGTTGGAGGTGGTCCACGTCTTCGCAGACCGGACATTGTTTATGACCCAACAGACAGATTCTTACTTCAGACAGAGAGCATGGGCTACTTAACACTCGACTTAAATGTTATTACGAGGAATTTTGATAAGTTTGGCGTGGAAATGTAAATTAATTTTGATCCCTTTGACAATTTTCATAACAAAATATTACTTACATCATACCAACTTCGACCATATTCATTTTGATGTTTCACTAAAATCGTTGTATGAATGAGTCTCTGGAACAAGAAATAAAGAGGTCAGTAATAACAAGTGACAGGCCATTTTTAAGTTTCTATAAAGTATGGGTTTTAATAAAGATCATTATAGCGAAACTGAAGGTTTATGTTAGACAAAATCCCTCGCAGAATGCGTGTAAATCGTTTTTAAATGTACTTTTACAGTGAAGGAGGAATCGAGATTTTTTCGATTAAATCGCATAAGCGTTTAAACTCCTACTACATCTTAATGTGATAAAACTAGTTCAAAGACGTTTTCTATCAGATTACCAATTTGTTTGTATATTTACATTAATTCAGTCCTATCAAGTGTAAAGGTGCAAAAGCATCATATTCGTCAAAAAATAAACAAAATATCTTAGTTTTAATAGTGGACAGTATACGTTCATATCGTCACTCATATCATTAAATGCGCATAATCAAAATTTCATATCTGTTGAGTTTTCTGTTTAAAAATCTTTGACCTTCGTCCATAATATCGAATACTATCCAGTAAATAAAACAATAAAGTGGAATTAAGTGTGGTTTATTAAGGCCACCATATAGCTGAAGATCTGTTAAGGACAAGAAACTCGAGAACAAGCTAATTATATTTCAAATTATGCACTGAACAGGGCTGTTTTGACAACCCAGTAACGGACGTAATCAGATGTAATTGCTTTTTGGAGCCAAGCATAACACAAGTACAGTTAACAGACAAACAAAAATCTAATCACAAATAAGGTTAGATTTTAAAGAATAACTTAGCACAATAAATCTTGATATTTTCAGATGTTTAACGGTATGTATACAACGATATCACCTAAAAATACTTAATACAACACAAATAAGAGTAACTAATATTGTGACTATTTCGGTTTTACAGAGAATAATATCCCTGGTATCATCAGCCAGAGGATATACTTTGTTCTTAAAATAACTTGTTCAGTTAAAAGACTACACGTTGAACAGTTGACTATGTTGGTAAATTTTCCAGTTTTAAAATCGCCAAATGCAATTTCCCAACCTTATTTGCTTTCCTCTTAAAAGCCGTTTGAAGAATAACAAGTAAGCGACACATAGGTGTTGTAAACATACATCAGACAAATACATCTTCAAAACCACGCAGTTCTTTCATAATGTTTCACGTTCATTCGATCTCTTAAGCCTATGCTAAATCGGTTAACCTGTTTACAGGTATCTTTTCATTCATAATAACAAATAACGTGATGTTTAACACTTAAGTTTAACCCTGTTTTGTAGGATAACTATCCTAGCATTTCATGCTGAGACAGTGTCATTGTTTAACTTTTTATTCTTTCACTAGGTCTAGTCTCTGTTAGGATTAGACAGATAAGGAGAAGTTTCAAACTAACAGATATTTTGAGGGAAAAATCAAACGATTATTCCGATTGAGTGTTGGTTTTGTTCATTACTACTTCTGCTTTAATTAGGTGTGACAACTGCTCGGTTTATTGTAAGATTATTTTTCGAATGATATTACTCGTGTTGACCTAGTGTGAAGTTCGTTCGGCAAGACATGCAGTATTTGTTTCTTAGTAACTCAGCACCTTTCTTTACAAACGATAATCATCAACTGACCATCACGTATGTGCAAAATCGTCACTTAAGCATTCTTTTTGGTCGAAAGCTTGCTTGTTCTCAAGGATGAGAAAACTTTTCTTTGTGTTCTTATTTCGGGTCATGAATATTGAGGTATTTTTCATTATCAAGCATCATGGTTACCTGATCAATTTCAACAGTTCGGAAGCTTTTTCTTGTGCATCAGTAAAACTTTTCATTGTTTGTTTGTTAAACTATTGGTTTTACTTGGTGGGTTTATATATAACTAATAAATTGTTACAACGTTTTTTTCAGTTCAGGAGTTACAATCAATTAATTTAAATCTACATATCAGGCTTGTACCAAAAGCGTACTAGTTTTATACATATTGAGGTTTAGTATTTATAATATATCATGGTGTTATATTATGTGTATATAATCGCCTGACTTTTTAAGTCTGAATAACAGACAGTTGAATGAGTTTCTGCTGTTTTAGTTAGTAGCTCGAGCGACGAGTGAATATGACATGGACGGCTGATCGTTAGTATAAACACTAGCCAATTCTGGGCCAGCATCGCTTTTAGCATTGGTAAAATCCTAGTTACTTTATTTATTATTCCTTGTAATTGTCAAGTCTTGTCATTTTCATCAAGTTATTATTACAAACGAAAGTAAATTCATATTATTCTGTTTAAATCGTCACAATATTTCAAGTAAAACGAATCGTTACAAGGAAAATGTATTTTAAAATGAAATATTTATTAATGTTAACATCATTCTATCTCAATTTACTGCCTATTTATTTATGTAAGGCTACTAATATGCATTAGTTCAACTCAGTTGCCTTCGGCGATTTATCACAGTTGTTAACTTAGTAAACAAATTCACAGAATTTAGTTTCGTTTATTACCGTGACTTGAAAACTCCGCCAGTAGAACCTTAGGAGCTACTGCCGGTCCCAAGCCCGGATAAAGAAGGAGGGTTGGACATGGGATTGGCGACCCCATTCCGTCGAAATCTAACTTACCAAAAAACGCTAATCTCCACTATTAAAAAATCAAGCAAACAAATCAAAAGCTATTTTCTATTTTTTAATATAACAAATTTAAATTAAAACAAATATATATTTGATTACAGTTAGTTATAAGATTTTCTTAAATGATTACATGCAAGGGGAGTAAAATATATTCATGTTCATCCTAAATTAGTACTGATATATTCTAAAATGATTTAAATATGGTTTATGTCAATGTGTTTTTTTTGTATCCCATCTTTCATACTATTCAATACTTATTAGCTTATTATTATTATTATTAATATTATGAAATTCGCATCTCTGTAGGCTGGCTGATAAAGTCAAAATTGATTAAGACTGAGAAAAAAAAGGAGAAAACAAGCTGATAGAGAAATGAAAAACAGCAAACAAAAAAGCCAAAAAAATGTCACTTAACAAGATAACATTTTTATTGGGTTTTTTTTATTGTGTGTGCATTTTCACGCCATTCTTATGAGGAGTGTTCACAATTATTTAAAAGGAGAATGAATGCAGAGATTTTGTTGATGAAGAAAGTAAAATAAAAACTAATAGAAACAGCAGTAGAATAATAACATTTTAATTGTGGTTATTTTTTTTTTTGTTTTAAAAAATAAACACAATTATAAATGGCTATCATTATTAATTTTAAGTATTGAAAAAAGAAAAGTAATAACGAAAATTAAAAAGAGTAAAAAGATGAGTTTTCATCGTTTATTAGTCAGTTGTTAAGTGGTTTAGTTCATTTCATAGAGTTTATTAAAATTTGTTTGTTATCGTTAACTATTTCGGTTGTAATTCTTCTTCATATTGTTTTCTAAAACAATCACCAATAGGAAAGAAATCCCAACATCTTTGTTGATACAATTCCCAAACATAAGTTTCCTAGATATTAAAAAAAAGAAAGAATAACAATAGGGAATGGCAAAACTGATTAAGTAGATTTTATTTATTTAGAAAAAAAACGTCATGTTGAAGCATGACCGAAACTGTACTTTTTTAATACTACTCTTGAACTAATAATTAACTAGTAAAACAATGTTAGAAGACATTTATAAGTTAAGCAAATGGATCTGACGCCATTGGATCTTGTTCAAAACGATAACTAAATCTTTACAAATAAATTTATCGGTCAACGTTAATCAAAATCTCTAAATAGAAGGGCTATTTCAGTTACCTTAACTTTTTGGTCAAGTCAGATACTGCATGTAGTTGATATCACAAACCAACCTAAATTAAGACAGTGGCAAACGGTTATACAATATTACGAACTAATTGACGTTAGACATCTACACAAATAAATGGAGGCTTACTGGCCTAGAGGTCAAGTGTACTTTGTGAGGCCAAAGGTCTTGAGTTCAATAGCTGATGGTTTCGTGGATGTTCATACTGGCTTCGTCTCTTAGTCGATAAACGCGAGCGAGACATTTACCAGCGTCCAGGTAGGCTACCTTGAATCCCCAACTAAAGCAAGAAGGCTTTGTAAGCGTAGAAAGTATATTCTACAAACACCCAGCAATCACAGTACCATCAAGCATATAACTCTCGTTTATTTATACATCATAGAAACGTCCTTGGGACAGTTAAGAAAATAGCACACAAAAATACACAGCAGCCAATCATGGATTTTCATGATGGGAAATGAAATCTCAAGGTCAACTGATCAGCCCATGCTGACAAACGTAGAATCCAAAATAGGGCATTTGACAAGCGAGTTTTCGGGATCTAACATCTCCAACAGTTCACTGCTGACGAGTCCAGCACTAGAACAAAAATCTATTCAGTATTTCCTGTTACTCACTGGATATCTAGCTTAGCATGGTTTGTGATATCGGCAAGCTTCAATGATGGTATACTTTTAGTCCTTTGAGTTGGAACTGACAAGTTCCCACCTTAAATAGAGGATAGTTATTAAGTGCTGGCGCTAAATGCCAATAATTAACGAATACTGAAGGTATGCATCACTAGGTTTCATCATATTATCTGAGCGATTTGAAGGTTTCACGGTCGATGCTAAACCAGATCGTCATTAAGCATTGACTAGAATGAAGCAACTGTTTAATACTTTATAGTTCCAAATATTTCTTCTTATCTTATCAGTGTTTAAGGCCGAAACCGTCATACAATTTAAATTTAGAATCAATGATTTTTATCTCTACAATATATCAATCAAGTTAAAATAATTTTACTAACTTGACCAGTGTATTCTGTATCCGGCTTATTGATTATATGCATTAGAAAGTACCTGAAAAATGGAATACATAACGAAATAAAATGAATTCTCACTATTTAAATGTATCAACAACCACTGATAAAAAAATTATAAGAATAATTGTTTTCTATCACATAGGATAATTGATAATCAAATTTAAAAGTAATTGATCACATATCAGTGTAAATGGTTTACTATGTTTCATAGTTGTTCATTTAGAAAGTGAAAGCTGACATTGTTTATAATTGGCATTTAAACAGTTCATTGGTTGATTTTAGTTTATGGTATGAATCTCCGTTACATTGAGCAAATTGTCATATTGGTGACAATATTAAACTTCGTAATTTTGCAGTAGAAATTGTAGACGTGAAAAAATACTAAAAATGGGAAAAAATTAACTTTTGTAAATATTTAAAGATAAGGTGCTCCCAACTTTATTTTGCACTGAATTCAAGATTATCTGAACATGATTTAAATAAACCTATCATGAAATGTATTTTTTTTCAAACATGAAGCGCGATTAAATTGAATTGGGAATCGTCAAATAAAATTTAACGATTTAGAAGGTATCTAGTATTTGGAAGTTTTAATCATCAATTTCGATATGAAACACACACATAGTGATTCACGACTCGATAGACTAACCAAACAGTTTTCCCAGCATAGTCTATTGTATGTCTCAGTATACGAAGTGAAAAATGACTCTACTTTTAGACTTCCATACCTAGAATTTATCAATTAATCTTCTATTAAAAGCGAACACATTCCATTTATAATAAATGTAATAGTATAAACGTAAAAATGTCAATATCCAAAAAGGCAAAAACGTATTTCAAGAATGGAAGTAAAAGTGTCGACCAACTCTTCAGTCAGTCAGTCATAGGCAAGATGCAACATCTTTGTGTTGGTTAAGTTGCAGTATTACTTTAGCAGAGTAAAAACGAAATAATCAAGACAAATCGCACATTAGTAGGAACTTTATCAGTAATACCAAAGATTACGTATAGAAAAAAGAAAATGAAGTACGAAAATGTTTCAGGATTTGAATTCTAAGGCGAGACAAAGCGTGAAAGCATTCGTGTCGTTGCAATCTATTCTGAGCAGTGAGCTTCAATATCTTCATCCATTGGTTACGATAATCATGAGAACTTTCATCAAATAGTCTGTACCTACTTACATTACTAAGGGCATTTTTCAATGATTTCACAGACTGGTGTCGCCTTTTGCTTTGGTCATTACTAACCTTCTTCCGACCTATTTCTCCGCCAGACAAGATCGCCTATCAATGTAGAAGGTGGTTGAACTTAATTAATACATGTTACAAGCACCTCAGTTAAAGAATCACAATCTCATCAACCAGTTTACCATATTTAATCGTCAATTACAAACAACCTACGCTATTATTTCTGAGTTAAATAAATAGGCTTTGTTAGTACTAATTGTGCAATAGCTACTATGTATTAAGAAGCAAACAATGTGGATTTATCTAAATTCACGAGTACAGTTCTGAATTCACAATTATCTACAGATGCCTCCCTGTGACTTACTACTGTCAATCAGAAGGAATATCAGAACTTACTAGTGAAGAATCAAAAAAATTATCGCACACAAATAGTATTATTAGTCAAATTCCTCTTCACGCAATAATAGTATGGTATGTTAACTCCATAGCCTAATAAGTGAGTGTATTCTAAAAGCACATGTGTAATTTTCTGTTATTTAATTTGTCTACTAATAAGTAGTTCAAATTTCACATAAAATTCAACGGATAATGACACCTACTTCCACAACTTCATAACAATTAGTTCAATTCAACAAAAAATAACTTTATTTTTGTATTATCTTGATTCACGTGTTTTTTTACGTTACTTTTTATACTATTAACTTACATGTAATTAGCAAAATTATGTTCTTTTTCCACATGTTGTTCAAAACCATGTGGTATTTTATCAAAGTATTCTTTACCAATACCACATATAAAACATTTCGACTCGAGATCTTCTTTTACTTGCTCCAACTGATCTCTTAAATCACCAAAAGCATCAATGATAAGACCTAAATGTATAGAGAAGATAAAAAAGTATACATGATCAGAAAGTCACTCAATAAAAGCACAGTGAAAGGTTCGTTGGTGATTCTTATTACTTACTATCCTACGGATCATTGTGGAACAATCAATAGAATGGAACTCACCACTCTACATCAACTTCATCGATTACGAGAAGGCATTCGATAGCGTGGACAGTAAAACACTGTGGAGGCTTCTTCGACACTACGGTGTGCCCGAGAAAATAGTTAGCATCATACGGAATTCTTATGATGGATTCAACTGCAAAATCATACACGAAGGACAGCTAACAGACTGTTTCGAGGTGAAGACCGGTGTCAGGTAAGGTTGCTTACTCTCACCCTTTCTCTTTCTCCTAGTGATCGATTAGATTATGAAGACGTTGACATGTGGAAGGAGGCACGGTATCAATTGGACAGTTAGGACGCAGCTGGACGATCTGGACTTCGCAGATGACTTGGCTCTTCTATCACACACGCAACAACAAATGCAAGAGAAGACGACCAGTGTAGCAGCAGCCTCTACAGCAGTAGGTCTCAACATACATAAAGGAAAAAGCAAAATTCTCCGATGCAACACAACATGCGCCAACCAAATCACTCTTGATGGAGATGTCTTGGAGGACATTAACACCTTTACATATCTGGGCAGCATCATCGACGAGAAAGGTGGATCGGACGCAGATGTGAGGGCGCGGATAGGCAAAGCAAGGGCTGCATTTCTACAGTTGAAAAATATCTGGAACTCCAAACAACTTTCAAACAAAACCAAAATCAGGATCTTCAATACAAATGTGAAGACAGTTCTACTGTATGGAGCGGAAACTTGGCGAAGTACGAAAGCGATCATCCAGAAGATACAAGTGTTTTATAAACAGTTGTCTACGCAAAATACTTCATATTCGTTGGCCAGACACCATCAGCAACAAATAACTGTGGGAGAGAACAAACTAGATTCCAATGGAGGAGGAAATCAGGAAGAAGCGGTGGAGTGGATAGGACACACACTACGAAAAGCACCTAACTGCATCACGAGACAAGCCCTCACATGGAACCCTCAAGGCAAAAGGAAAGGAGGAAGGCCAAGGAACACACTACGCCGAGGAATAGAGAAAGATATGAGAAGAATGAACAAAAATTGGACAGAACTGGAGAGAGAAGCCCAGGACAGAGTAGGTTGGAGAAAACTGGTTGGCGGCCTATGCTCCATTGGGGGTAACAGGCGTAAGTAAGTAAGTAATTACTTACTATCCAGGGAAATATTAAACTGATCTGAAACATGTTATCATTTATTTGGATTTTTCACAAATCACACGGACTGCAGAAACATTTTTAGGAGAATAATTGTTTATGAGATTAGTTAAATGGCTCTATGGTTGTGTATCAGAAATTGAAATCTGTCTTATGGCTTTATATTACCGCCTCAACATTAGGAACCATTACATGTCAGTTGTGATAGCTATGTTCGGGTTCGTAGTTTTTCTTAGGAGAAAACATAGTCAGTTTTTCAAATGTCTTGATTTTGATGATTAAGGAGTTTTGTGGATGCACGTTGCAGAAGAATTCTATACTAGGAGGATAGAGCTGTCCAGTTCTCCCTGATGCTTAAGCTAAAGTCATTCATTAATGAAAATAATTTTTATGCTAAACAATCTTCACAAACCTACATAAATATCAATACGATACTTCAACTATATCTTTCAATTGTACCTTCATCTACTACACATAGTAATTATACAGGCATCATCATTCATAAATTATTTTTTCCCATTGAAATTTACCTTGAATAATAGCTAGTAGAATAATGATAACAAAGAAGAAAAAGGTTAAATCGAATAAGATTCGATAATTTTCTGATTCATCACCATCAGGTGCTTCAATTTCATCGCCAATCCCTCCACCAGCTCTTAGTCCAGTATGTAAATGAAATATGAAACACTGAAATAAAAGAAAAATGGGACAGAAATGATGCATACATATATAAATGCATTCATTATAATTTCTCAAATAAGGTTAAATTAATATATACTACTAATCTTTGTGTAACTACTTTTTAATCTCATGACAAGGATTAAAATTTAAGAGGAATGTAAATATTAACTTCTAGTTAGTTACTGCCAATAAAAATGAAATTAAAGATATGGCTATACTACCACGTCAAAAAAGGTAATGAAAAATGTACTCAGATAATATAACAGTTAAACTCCAAAAACCCATGATCAGTCGAGTTCACCTATATTGAAGGTCAGACATGATTTGGACGGTACCACTTAAAAATTGATTTAATATAATGAAGCTTGCATAGTAAATAAGCAAACTAAAATATCAATTTTATCCTATGCTAAACACATCACTTTAATTACGAAACTATAGCCCTATAATTTATGCTGGCAGTTGTCCAATTTCGACACTGATACAGAATCTCCCAACTACTACTCGAATAAAAAGATTGTGAATGAGAAGAATGTAAAGTAACTTCAAATGTGTAAAAACACAAACCTCCAAAACTCTGCCCTAAAATAACTTCATAGAATCGAGGATATGTATAAATATTTCGATTAGGTTAATAAGTCACTAAAAATGTATGTCTCATTCTTTAGAAATGTGGAACATTTCTTCACCAATCGCGTTTACTTATCATTCGGCCGATTTCTGATTGGTCGGTTGTATAATTAACTCGATTTCCATTGTGCAACGTATCACCCTAACCCTTAAAATTCAAGTTTTTCACCTGGATTATTATTATTTTACTCAAAAAAAAATTAAATTCAGAGTATTTTCCTAATGTCGTGTACACAATTTCGCTAATTCAGTTTATGATCAGTCAAGCGAACGGACTATACACGTTCGATCTCTTCTTCAACACAGGATATTGCCGGCGTTCGTGGCCTCTGATTGTTATTAGAGTCCTCACAACCACTACTAGAATGCTTGATTCACTTGAGAAGAGTTGTCTCTTTATTGAGTTTTCATCATACTCAAACTTTTGATCAAAATGTTTAGTAGCTAAGCCTATCTATTGAACATAACATGCTCAAAGATATATCCATTTATTCACAATATTTGTCACTAGTTACATAACACTTTGCCGATAAACTCATTCGCTATGAATATGAATTCACTAGTCGCGTAAATATTAACAACAGTTAATAATCTCATAGCATAAAATCCAATCAACTTACAGTTTTCATATCATTACATTTTGGATCAGGTACACCATCATTATCTTTGACATAGAATTTACGAAAGAAATTAAATGCAACCACAGTGTATAAATAAATCACAATCGATGTCAACATAACTGTTAATACAAGCTGTTAGGGAGAAACAATCAAGGGAAGAGAATAAGAAAACAAACAAGTAGATATCACAAAATGAAAAGTAAAAATTACAATAACATAAACAGATACAATGTTAGAAGTTATTTTATATCCTTACTCAAAAACAAATAATTTACAATTGACTATTCAAATGATAGATGAGGCTTGTAGAGCTGAGTGAATAATTCTGGTGACGTTGTGTTCACTGTGCTAGATGGTTTAATTGAGGTCAGTCAGTCATTTACAACGTAGAACTTCGTACGTATGTACATAAGTTCAGACTGCCATACCACCTTAGCACAGAGACGCAAATGTCAAATCAAATCCCATAGTGATAAAGATAGTAGAGGTATTAATGGTAATGAAGAAGACTAGGGTTTGAAGATATTATTCAAGAAGTATAATTCAGTGAGATAAGGTTCGAGAGACAAAGGTAGAGGTGCTGACGATTTCAGAAGATTAGGATTTGAGAGAGCACAACGAATGGATGCACTTGCGCCATTGGAAACGATTTTGAGCCATGTAGTTCAAGGTCTCTAACCAGTGGTGACTTTCGTCTAGCGGATCCCGGTTTATTGATGAGTTTTTATTGCTATTTTGGATAACGCTTTAGGCATCTATCTACATGTAGGCACATGACAGAACATAATACCACCAAATACATACCAATTTCTAATTTCACTATCTGATAGTGATTAATTACAGTTTTCTGAATAACGAAACAAGGCTATTTTCATAATGTGTTTTAATAATCTCAAGGAAAGCTGTGCATGTGTATTTGCATCTTGAAAATGATTTTCTTCATTTTAATCATTCATTTGATGTTTTTCTCGGTTAATGAGTATGTTGCTTATCAAATTTGATCTTAGCTGCTGAATTATTGAATTTAATAATGATGACAATTTAGCGAACTTAATTATGATTAGTTGTTACTAGTAGTATGGAATTGGTGTGATTATGAGATTCGTAGTTCCTGCATTACAGAGTGACCCTACTGAGATAATCAATGAAAGCCACGAAGTATTAGATGAATAATTCGGCTAAATAAAGGATTCCTCTTCATTTCAATTGAATTCAAACAAACATACATACAAAAGTATTTGTATAAAAGATTTACACTCTTCAATAACTAAATTTTAATTATTAACACTAACACAACTTTATACTGAATTGCATAATATATAAACAGACTGAGACACATACAATCATAGTTAAGCAAAAACAACAAAATAAACTGTTTTTAGACCATTTTGTGATGTTACTGATTATTAGATTATTTTAATTGAGTATTTTTAAAAGATTGGGTAGATAATGCTCCTTTTATTCAAATATATTCATGTTTAGTCAATAGAATTCAATCAACACTAAGAACAACTTGATATACATCATATTGGTCACTACCTCTCACGATCAATCAATCGTAGACAGTGAAAGAAGATGAATAATAGTTCGAAATTTCAAGCTTCTGATCATTGAACTCAATTAAAAAAAAAACTGGCTGCTTGATTTGGTTGGTCAACGTGATAAATAACAGACAACAAAGATTTTAAACTTATTACTTTCTGATTCTTTTAATTAATGTCTTTTACAAACAACAGTTATTGACATGACAGAAGAATGAAAAATTGGAATTAATCTATGCACACATATGTATATAGAGCTTACTTGTTTTCCATTATGTGTAACCGATTGAATGATCGTTCTGAGTGTTTTAAATGAAACAGCTACATCAAGTAAATGGCAAGCGTATAAGAAATAATTTAAATTTCCAAAAGCTGATGCAGCAAAATAAACCGCCAAATAAAGGAAAGACTGGTAAAAAAAAATGAAAAAAATTTAGATATAAATGTATATTTGAAAATTTTCATTTAGTTGTATTAGAAAAATTCACTGTCACGAAATAAAAATTTATGATGATATTAGTAATACAAACTAATATATTTAGACAATTTGAGCCATAATGGGCAGTTAGTGAAGGAAACTAGATGAGCATCTTATGCGTCGTACATAATTGACTAAGCTTACTTCCCATCAGTAAATATATTGATATACCTGGTTCTTTATTAAACCTTTGAACTAGAGTGAATATGGTCATATGATTTAGTGTATTCGCAAATTAAAACCTTACTGTTACGAGTTCGATCTCATATGAAGTTATGTCTTCACATAGTTAGTGATGATGAGACACAACTAACCTATTCTTCTTCTTTTACAGTGTGACTCTCCGAATGATTTCAATCATTAATGAAAAAAAGTTATTGAAAATTTTCGATTAAAAATTGAGTTTTTTAGATATCTTACAATCCATAGAAATGAGCAAATGTATCGATCACTTGGATATCACAGATTTTATGATAATTTGTTCATTGGACTTGAAAAATAATAAAAATACTAATATTATGAACAGAAAGGATTTGAATGATCACAACGTTGATAATCTTGACTGGATTATATGATCAGTGTTAATTGCCATATGTGCATCTCGTGTCGACTACTTCGATATTAGCCATTTTCATAGGTATACCCATTGCACAAGTTAGAAGTTATCTGAACTGAACGGCTCACTAGATAACTCATTAGAGTTTTGAAGTGAAAGGTGCTAGGTTAGAGCTCTGGCACAGTCATTTGGTTAAAGAGTTCTAAATAGAATGAATTACGAGTCCGAAACTCCACTTCTAGCCACGAATCTAACTTTTCTATAGATTAAACGAACATTGTTCCAGTTAATACATGGCGAAATAAACCTGAACATATTCTTAATTACTTTATAAACAGTATGATAAATATGTATGTATGTATTCATGTATATATGCATGAAAACTTACAATATCTGTGAAAACAACTCCCCATTTCCAAACCAAATATTGTATATCAATACCGCCGAAACTAGAGTATAATGAAAAATTGAATCAAGAAATACATATTCATTAGTAATGGAGTTTATAGAGATTATTGAAGGTTATTGAGATTATGGATAAACGTAAGATAGGAAACCGATGTAAACTAGGAAGCATTGGATTATTATATCTGACTCCTAGTGTCGTCGAACGTCCTTTACTAATCCTGAAGCAACATTATGCATTTGGAGGGGGATAAGTGCATTTCGAACATGCTTGCATTATTGCTTGAGATTATCAGAAGATTCTGCATTTTATCAGCATCTTCGCCGGACAGAACTATGTTATATACATTTTCTAAATCAGCAAGTCAATCTTGTAGTACAAGATCAACTTATGAAACGTCAGACGACGAAAGTGTCGTCTCTAAAAGCACGTAGGTTAGTGCTAGTGTTACTGTTAGCTTCGCTCTTCAAAGACCTTACAGCTGGAAAAGGAAATCTGTGGGACAGGGTGAGGTTTGACACTCTTAGGATTGACATTTTCCAACCCCTTTCTTCCGTTGTTAAGAGACAGAAAAGGTTAAACAAGCTCATATAACGATAAGCTGTTACATCATTTCACAATAAGGCTGTACATTTTATAGGATATTTATTATATTTCAAATGCTTTATGGGTCTTAACAGTATACAGAACTCATTTTAAATCTGTCCGAAATTGAAAGCCAACTTTTAAATTATTATTAATAAAGAGGGTTTGTGGACACTGTATTACTTCCGCAATTGAAATCATGAATTGATTTAAGCTAGGGAACGGGACTCATCAGCAGTGCTCATCCATGATCTCAACGTGCAGGAATCAAACCCAGGACTTTCATTGTCGCTTGCGGACGCTTAACCTCTAGACCACTGAGTCTAACTAGTCAGTACATGATGTCGCGCAACCTCCATTCATTACTTGCGGTGGATAACTGCCTCCAACCCAACACGAATTGAACCTCACTAGTCACGAAATAATTGATTATATAATTTTACATTACTGATGATATCTATCAGTGAAGAATAACAAATAATATTCAACTTGTCAAACAAACCAAATGTATAACTTCTGTCGATCGATAACATTATAAATTATAACAGGATATTGTTATTTCAGCCAAAATATCTCAATGGCTTACAATTTCGATAGACCAGCTCCATTAGTTTCTGTGTCAGAATTAATTTTATCCATACCCAATAGTCTTGTAATTTCATCAAGATCATATTGAACAGAATATTTATTACGAACTTTCTTTTTAACAAATTTATCCCAATACATTTGTGGAAATGATGGTGTTGATAAGACTAATTTATCCCAATGTGCACGTAAATTATCTTCAGCCGGTTGTGAAGAAATCCACATACCTTCAAATTCAAGCATTCTACAAATTTCTTTTTCACGTTTAAATATTACTAATGGAACCTTGAAAAATAATAAATAAAGAAGAAGGAAATATAACAAACATAGAAAGACTGTATTTTATATATTAAGCATGGATAATAGTATGTAGTAAATAAACATTCCTTACAAACAGTTCAGAGTATATATGAATTATTTTTGATTGATCATTTATGGTATAAATTAATGTGTCCATAATTTAAACAAGATCTAAATAAAAACAGAACTCTAATTTGAGTCTACACACTGTACAGGCTACTCATATGTAAAATGTATTGTTTGTTTAATGTATACAAGACTTGAGGTTATAAAAAACCTTATTTTCGAAATACTTTGTCTTATAGCAACACATTCGTCACATTTCTGTTCGAAAAATAAATGAGGAACTCAGAAACATATCCGTTCAGTTGCTTCCTTGTTTCATATAGTCAGTTCAGTCCCAAGTATCTTCCTCTTGTCACATGCACAAATGACTGCCTTGATCTCAGTTCATTAGCAATAGTCACGACTGGTACAATAGACTTTACAAGTGTGATGTTTTCATGAACACCGGAGGTCAATAGTCATCGTGGTCTTGTACCAATGCTGAGATTTCCATTTCCATTCTCGGGTGATGCAAATGTACTGCTCAAAATTTAACTTGAACTGAAAAATCCTTAATAAGTCATGATAAGTGTATTTTATATGTTTATACTTAATTCAAAGGAAGTGACATCAACTAAATCACGAAACATTGGAAAATATTTCCTTCGGTCCTGTAAAATCTTTGGGAATATATTCCTGGGATATACGTTTTAAGATATCTGACTGAGATACATATGTGTTACGTTTGACCCAGAAAAACAGTTAGCTACCATGTAAAAGTTGTGCTTATTTTAACAATATGTATAAATCTAACATTTTATTCAACTTGTAAATTATTCTTGTTACATTTATATAGTCGATCAACAGAATTTCGTATAGATTCGTTTAATTTGTAGTCGGGTTTTGTCAGAAATTAACGTTAATACAAATACTGTTGAGAAGCGGAGGGTTTTAAATACTTATTTTGACTCTATACGAGGCTTATCAACAGAACAGGGCGACAATCTCCGTAGGAAAAGAAGAAACTAGGACTTTCGTTGTGAGCAATTAGGCATTACACTACCACTGAGCTGGTAATGACTCCACCAGTCATAGGTTTTTATTACAACATTAAGAATTAGTTTAAAGACAGCTCATCAATGAACAAACGATTATAGTATTGGAAAGTATTTGTGTTTGATCAGAGTTGTAGTTATTGTCTATAACCCAGTTTTATTACCACAGTTTGGTCTTAAAGATCATAAAATTATCTAATTGATAGGTGATAACAGTTGTTTATTTTATACAATAATCCGTCTAGTACGTTGAACACTATCAAAAACTTTCATGCCTAGTTATAAACTCTAATCATCTTCCTTTCTTCAACTCTAAATGAAAACATTAGGTGAGAAGTTCAAAATAGGTGTTATATTCATAATTACTTCTTTTATAAAGAATGAAATATGTGTATAAGTTAATGAATGACATTTGAAGTTCAAAAAAGTTTGTTGAAAAGATACTCGAAACTAGTAACACAGCTGTTAATTGATTAATTAGTTTCATATTTAATCGATTTCCACTGTTTTTTTCTAAGCTTGCAAAAGTTAACTGACTAAAAGTATTTTTTTTCAAAGCATTTTCCAAGCTTTTTAGAGAAATATTCAATCAGTTGTGGATATTTTCAAACATAAACCAAATGTATTAGACATATTTTACATAAATATTTATCAAAATTTGTTAATTTACCTTTAAATAATAATATGCCACAAGTGTACTAAATGATAGCAGAGAATGAACAGCAGCAAGTATAGCTATAAGTGGACCAATATATGATGATGTATCACCTGATGTAATCCATTCAATTAATTCTTCATCTGTTGCATCATTGTCACTGCCGCCTAATTCATTACCGCTAACATCTTCATCACCCAAAGCATTGGGATTAATTTGATTCACCTTTGGAAAAAATATAAATAGAAAAACAGAAATAATAAATTTAGAAGATAACAAGCAAAATCTTTATATTTTTTATGGTTCAAGGTTAAGTTCGTATCATTCAATGCAACAATTAGAAATGTTATCAATAAACGTGTATGAGTAGTAGCTAGAAACCATTTATATGAATTAGATTTACTAAACATAAGATAAAATGATATTGATAACTACTTATTAACTAGTTAATGTAAATATCTTATTATGTTCAGGTGATATAAAGCTTAGTTCTGGTGGTTTATACGCAAGCCATTTGTATGAGTTGTTTGAATCCTTCCATGGTTGTTTAGGATTGCAACTGAACATCCTGTGCTGATTTTCTTGATATTACCATCAAGTCATAAGCACTATACAAGCAGCTTTGTAGTTTTGGAATATGTCTGAAAATACTTTCAAGGATTACTAATAATTTATTAGTTTTACAAAAACGAATTAAGAAACAGCAAAATTACACTGATTTGATAAATGATATGAAATTTCGTTGAAATTGTTAATTAACGAAACATAATTCTGTTAAGTGTTTTTCATGAATAACTAGTAGTATTTACTATGCACATTATTATCTTATATTCTACTGTTTTTTATTTTCTATCAAGGTACACTTTTCTTTTTTCTCGGCAGTGATACTACTTAGTGTTAGGTAAACACAAAGAAATACATTATTGGTTGTTTTATATCTTTGAAATCATCAATCAGTCATTGTTAGACCACCATTAGAAACCTGGAAGTACTGGACGGCCATTTCGACCTGGTATGGGACTCATCAGCAGTGCGCATCCACGACTCCTGCACCTCCCAGGATTTGAACCGAGGACCTTCGGTCTTGTGCGCGAACGCCTTACTTCTGGACCACTGGGCCGGCATCCAACGACGTTAATGTCTAACTCTGATCAATCTACAGATTTTACGCGACCTCACCCATTTTTTTTGGTACTTACTGCCTACATCCGACAAGGTGACAAATGGGTGAGGTCGCGCAAAATACCTAGATCAATCAGAATTAGACATTATCATTGTTGGATGCCGGCCTAGTGGTCCAGAAGTTAGGCGTCCGCGCACAAGACAGAAGGTCCTGGGTTCGAATCCTGCGACCTGCAGGAGTCGTGGATGCGCACTGCTGATGTGTCCCGTACCAGGACGAAACGGCTGTCCATTACTTCCAGGTTTCTAATGGTGGTCTAACAATGATTGATTGATGATATCAAATGTGTAAAAACACTAATCTACATAACTATAATTGAAAACGTTTATATATATTTTAGACAAAATCGACTCCTTAACTGTTGATATCATCCCTATCAATCATTTTTATTAGAAGAAGAATAAAATATTGTTTTTAAACAAAAAATAAATCAGTACAGCCAAAAAAACAAACAAAACAAACATTACCTTAGAGAATAATAGTAGAAAATTGATCACAAATGCCAATATCAGTGCACTAATTTTGAAACGATAAAAATTACTAGCAAATAATGAAATGACATAATTTCTTGTGTTGAATTTTGTTTTACATTCATCTTCTACTTCTTGTTTTTGATTTGTTGTTGTTGTTGTTGTGGGTGGTGCTGGTGCTGGTGATGTTGGTGATGAAGTTTGAACACCAGTTGTTGTAGGTATACGAGTTCCAGGTGGAACAGATGAGGATGATGTTGATATTTTTTTCATAGTTGGACTAGTTGGACTAGTAATATTATTATTATTATTGTTAGTGGTGTTGTTGTTTTTCCAAGTAGCTGTGGTAGATTTAGCTAATTCAAAATAAAAATAGATAGTTCAATGTGCTAATTTTAAATACAACAATCGTATTCATTAAGTGAACCAATTCTAAGTGTCCACCTTCTTTGAAATACTGTGAATATTTGGGCTACATTTCCTGTTCAATAAATGGGTGAAATAAGGCTATAAAGTCTTCATTTTACAAAATGTGCAAGACATCAATTTCCAGTGTACCTGTTTTTATTGTTTGGTATTCCTATTGTTCATAGGAAGTGCAAAAGTTCCTAGAGGTCATATTCATAGATCCTATTATTCTTTTATATTTTATAGTCTACATATTGGGTAATGCTCCCTCATTCACATGAATGTAACAAACTTTAATAATACAGCCGAATAACCTTGAAGTATGGATCTGTTTTAGTAGTAGATGGCACAGGTGACTGAATGATTTATTTCACTGTAAGACTGAGATTAAAATATGAATACTCTAATCCTTACTGTTAAACCTGATTCTTAACACTAATCCCCAACCCTATTTTGATATTTTTCTCATAATCTTAGAGAAGCTTACATAGTTCGACTGATAGTTGATTAATGTGGTGTAATAGGATGTTTTCATTTATCATTCAATTACTAATTACAGTAATAGTAATAAATCTTTACTCTTAACTATTCGCTATAACTAAATAGCCGCTGAATAATTCTGAATATTTCATTTTTAAGAGATTCTTTTTCTAAAATCTGTAAACTATTTTCCTGCATGAACATGACACTCACTGATGTAATATTTTAAAATATACAACTCAATTGTATATCACTTGAAAGTTGGTTGATAATTGTGTAAATCATTAATTTCGTATTCGTTGTTGTTTTACCATTACAGTTTTGCACACATCTTACTTATATATAATATAATATATGCAAAAAAAGTGTTATTAATCTGATATATATATATATATATATATATATATATATATATATATACATATATTACTGTGTATTGTTATGAGTTTCGAATAAAACTTGTATTTCTTCACCGATTATATGTTGCTTTATATAATTCATATCATTGTGATTAGTGATCCATCAGATGGCTTGCATTGGTTTAATGCTTTCATATAAATATTTATGTACATTAGAGTAAAGTCTGATGACAATCTAACTGAAAACAATATAGTTTGGTCATATATATGTTGTTCTGAATTTTAAAAAATTCTCTTACAATGTATGCTGGACTAATTTACTCATATTTTATAGAGATTAGTTAAATTCAAAGTTGATTCTAAACACGAAATTATTAGAATGTTACGTAATATATTGTTGTTGTAATGTATGATACAATGGAACATTTTCTTCCTTATTCATAACACCAATAAATTGATATCTTTAAATTAAATGATGAATGATTTAGCTTGCTAATATTTTTAATCAATAAACTCACTTCTTAATTCTACTTACTAGTGATCAATAGTCAATTAAAACCTGCCTTATGAGTACAGAAACAGCTCAGAGAACGAAACACCACCACAATCATCCACCTGAGCTACAAATTTTCTCCACCATCTCAGAGTACAGAAACAATTTTTTATAACCTTGAATTTACCCTAAGAATCTTTAAGCCATCTTATGATCTAGGGCAATGTGACAATTTCCAATCCCTTCTTATTCTTTCTATATTACGTTGATTTTCTCTCTAATTCATTTATAGTTATCACCTTATGTCTGTTTGAAATTTTATTTAATTGACCTTTTATTAATCTTCATATAAAATGTCTTGAACAGATTGTTCGAAATATGTATAACGTAGATTAATAGTCAATTGTTGAGAATTAAGTATCATACAATCACAATGATTCAAAATGTTGTATACATTTTTTATTGAGCAACTCTAGCTATCTAAGAAACGTACTTATTATTGCATAACTTACAAATCGAAAGTAAAGATAATGCTTCTTCTCCCTAAATCACTGTGAGTATAGCTCACAAGGAATTCAATTAAATAATGTCACGTGATGCTGGACTATATTTGGCCGGTAAAAGTAAGATGTGACTGACCTATAAGGCAAGACAAATGTTGAGACATTATCAATATTGTTAGTTCCTTCTAATATCGAATTATACACTGGTTTTAATTGCCTCGACTGAATGTAATTGTGTTAAATATTGTTTAGTTTATACTCTGGTTTTGTACATTTAGTGGTGAACTATGTATATTGTTTATCTGTGTATCACATAATTCAGTCTATATGTCGTATAACCTAGTGCCCAGATTGTATTGTCATATTATAAGCAGTATATTGTGGGCATAAAAAAGCACCCATTTATTTGCCGTAACGTTTAGAAACTAGAATATTATTAACCATTAAAACCTACAAGATATATCACTTCCAGATTTTGCATTTTCATTTGATAAATATGTAGATGTTTCAGCATTCATTATTGCATACTCTTCTTCTATAGTAGCTAAATGTACTGGATCTGCACGTTCAATAATTAATTGTTGATCTTCTGATAATAACCACCATGGTTGTTCCTAAAAGAAAAATACAATTTAAAAAAATAATTTGAAGAGATAAGTTTTAGTTCATTAGAACAGTTTTTGATATGTTTAAAATTGATCAATACTAAATAATTAGTGTACAATTTGGTCATCATAGATGAACATATTACATGATGAATGTTTGTGAATTATACCATATGAAAGTAACAATTGTTAATAACTTTTAATTATCAACTACTTGTTATCTAGTTTGGTAATGTTTAGAAGATAAACAAGTCAGTTTAAACTAACATTAGTAAGAAAAGAGGACTTTATTAATTTTAACTTAAGAATAGTTTGAATACTTATTAACTGGAGTAAGCAGTGAACAGGAATCACACAGATGAAGTAAACGAAATTATAGAATCGGAAATCATTTTTTCTGAACTGTCTTTATTTCACAAAAATGAATGAATAGCTTTTACTCATTATTTTCAAATATACAGTTTTTATGTAATAGTAGTCACCCCTTCAACTGTGTCTTCAAACACAACCAACACACAATCATTTAGTTCTTTTATTAATACATTAAACAGTTTAATGAATCTCAACTATTCAAAAATGTAATAATAATAATAATCGATTAAATTCTCGTCAAAGTATGAAAGAAGTTTACCGTATTAATTTCACTAGAATGTTGTATAGCTCCAGTAGTAGATGCTCCTTTTAAATATGAACTTCGATCAGTTGACCATGGAATCATTGCACGTACAGCAGCAGTTGAATGATAACAATGTGTTAGCTGTCTTTTTTGACTAATATCAGTAGCAAGTGCAACTATGATATACCATAAAAGATGAAGTATACGTGAACCAAATCGTCCTACACAAATTATTAATCCAACAATTATACCGAGTATAGTCAATAGAATATCTGGTAAAGTCATTTGACGTAATTTATTCCATGTGGCATATAATTGAGTTGGTCGTATACAATGAAAGATCACGGATAGTATATGTCCAATGAAAGCTAGATGAGTTATTTCCAAAAAGCGATTAAATGCAGCAACCTTAAATTTAATAAAAGAAAATAAACTCTCATGAGCGATTATTATTGACTGACATAACAAAAAAAATGAAACAGTCCGATATTTTTTTCATATCGATAGGTTGCTCATTTGCTGTGCTGACAATTATTGGTTAATTGATTGATATGAAAGGAGTAATTAGTAGGAAAACAGAACTATGAATCATTTTCTGACAAGATTAATTTTAATAAGTTATATGTGTATGATTTAATTCTTTCTGGATAAGTTAGTTGAATTATCATTAGTTTACTCAACTTGACGCAATAAAATACAGATAGCTTCTGTTATTCATATTTCTCTCAAGTGGACAGATCAATCTTTCATTGAGTTTTTTGATAACACGTACCTACTTATCCGTCTTAGTCAGTAAATATGTTTTTGTTTGATTACTGCACGTCAACTGTTTAAAGATCCCCATCATACCATGGCCAACCTCAGGCCCAACTAACCAATAGTTAACTAAGGAATAACCCAATTTGACAAATGTACACATAACTTTTCCAAGTCAAATCCAATTGCCTTTGTTATCGTTATTCATTTGCTATTATTATTATTATCGCTTTAACATTACTTTTAATCTCCCAAACACTTAATCAGTATACTTCACACTCACCCTGCCTTAATATTCTTTATTGAAGTTATATCACTAAATACTCGATTGAATCTGGTCAGTTCATTATTATTTTTCTCACCCTATCTGACACATTATTTATTCTAATCAAGTGATATTACGATTTCATTTAAGGTATAAGCTTATTCAAGTTTACACTTCAGATTAGTTATCTTAAAATTAAAAATTTTATTGTATCTCACGAATAATTTTCACATATGTTATAAGTTGAAGCGATGTCTCGAACCTGACAACTTTATTTGGGTTATTAACTTAGATATATAATTGGAGAACCTGATGAGAATTTATTAAAAAGAATATTCTTCATTCATATACTCCACATTAAATGAGAACTAAAATTTGAATATAAAGTAAAATAACTTGTTATTCTGACTGAAATAACTAAAGAGTATTTGTGCGTAAATCGAAAACTAATTAAAAAAGTAGTTGAAAGTCTTTACACATGCCAGACAATATGATGATTACGGAATAAATTAGTGATATTGTACAAGAAGCAGTAGCAATAGTAGCATTAGAAAGTAGAAAAAGCACAACCCACCCTATTCAGCGCCACGTCAGCTTCATCACCATTAATCGATTGAGCATGTTGCATTTCAAATATGGTATCTTCACAGAAATTAACAAAACACTCCAATTTCTCTTTATCTCCACTTTCACCAACTACAGAATGTAGAAAAGATCTTTTTGATTCTTTAATTTGTGGTGCTTCCCATTGATCAATATGCTGTTGACGTATTTCAAAGTAGACACGTTCAATTCGACCATTTGAACCAGTAATTTCGATTCGACCTAAATGCGGTTCGAATACGTCAAGTACTCCACGTGCTTTTTCAATCAGTCTTTCCAACCTAAAATGAAGTAAAACAGAAAAATTAGAGTAGTGTAAAATCAATTATATATTGACTTGTTAGATAAAGAGATTAAAAGTGCTAAATTATCTACCGTGTATCTTCGGAGAACCATTTACTGATATTTTTTATGATTCGTTTAGTAACTACTGATACTCTGTCACTTAAATGCAGGTCAACAAATAATTCACGACATTAGCCAAGACTCAGCTTCACTCATCAATGGTTGAAAATGTAGCCTTATTTTTAGATGAAGTATGATGTGTACTTACGGATGAGCCGACATATATTCCCTATTCAGTTTTAATTATCATAACTTTGTTTTAAATTTCGATTTTCTCACTCAGGTAACTGGTTTAGGCTTGGATATAGGAAGCTTATATATCAATATTAGACTTTGACACCTCACAACATAACCACCGTGTCTGGTTAATGATCACTTCTTTAGGCATCTACTGAAGGGGACTCAAACTTTTTATGCAAATGTGTAGATATGGAAAGTATGGCAATCTCTGAATTCAGTACTTTGGTGTATAACGCATTGAAGTTTGAAACAGTATGTACTGCGATGAGGTTTGGCTGTTTATATAAACACTTAGGATACAAGTGGATACCACTAATATGAACAAACACAGTCAAAGTTGAATACCATGTTATGTAAAGTAACATTTATCAACCACTAACTTGTATTAATAACTTTAATCGATAATTATCAAAAGAATTCATTTTTTAATCACAATTAAAATTTCCATATTTATATAAATCAAACAATATTACCTTGGATCAGATGGTACATGTTCAGATAAATTAGTCAATAGTAAAGCTAAATTAAAACCAATATCTTCAGCTGGATTATAGAAACGTTCTGTGAATTCTTTAAAATCAACTTTACCATCTGCATTATTATCAACACATGCAATGATATAATTAATCTCTTCACTAGAGAATGTAAGAGAAAAAAATAACATAGAACAATCAGTTAGTGTGATGAATTTGTAAATAAAATGATGCATCTCATTCATGTCACTATGAAGATAGTAATCGATGTAAAGTGACATTGACAAACAAATTAATAAAAACATCTAGAAATAATGAACACTTGATTCATTCACCCTAATATGGAATTTCACAGAAGTATATGCCACTACACATAACTCCATGTGAGACTGAGCCCAGACATCTAAACCTCACGATGAATATGATATCACTGAGCTATGAAATTTGTATTGTAAATTTTATATTCTCAAATTCAATCAATTTGTGATTCAGTGTAATTGCCATACAATGCAATTGATAATGATTGTCACTGTATCATTTTTAAGTGTCTTAATAACTTGAAAAATAATCATGTTCAACTCTTAGCCGATTAACTGACATTTCTTGAATCTGATAGAGTGAAGCTGTCCCGTAAATTGTAAACTCTCTTGTTGGGGACGTTAGATCCCCAGAACTCGCTTGATAAATGCCTTATTTTGGATTTCACGTTTGCGAGCATGGGTTGATCAGTTGACCTTGAGATTTCATTTCCCACCAGGAAAATCCTTGGCTGTGATTGGCTGCTGTGTATTTTAGTGTGCTAATTTTGTGACTGTCCCAAGGACGTTTCTATGATGTATAAATAAACGAGAGTTGTGTGCTTGATTGCATTGTGATTGCTGGGTGCTTGTAGAATATACTTTCTACGCTTATCAAGACTTCTTTTTTGCAGTTTTGGGATCACAGTAGCCTATCTGAACGCTGGTTCACTGTCTCGTTCACGTTTATCGACTAAGGTGAACTCGTAATAGCTTCAAGCGTACCTAGTGACGAACCTAACATCCCTGTAATGTGATTTACTCTATTAATAAAATTTAAACAAATCAGTCTTGATTCACCCTTATCTGTCTTAATTATCATGATGGATAGATCAATAATTGACTAAAGAATACCCTTTATCCCATCTTACTCTAACAATAGACACAGTAAATAATATTATATCAACCCCCCCCTCACCTTTATATGGAACTTCACATCAACCATAGAAATGTATTAAGGTAAGAGAAATAAAATGTGTCGGAATTAAATAGTTCATTTTATAAATCGTTTTGAAATTGACCTAAATGACCTAGTGAAGAGAATTAAAACTAAGAATATTTTATTATCATCTCTAGTTTAATTATTCAAGTAACTTAAGTTTGATAAACAACATAATAGAAAGTGCATATATTAAAAGGTCAATAATATATATACACATATACATATCGGCTTCATTTGAAAATTGAAGTACTTACGGTGAATAGGTTTTTTGTTGTTCTAAGGCTAAACGAAATTCTCTATGCGAAATCCAACCATCACCGTTTACATCAAAAGCCTGTGTAGTAAAAATAAAAATGTTATACAGATAATTATTACATTATAAAACTGTTTCTTAAGAGAGATGAACATTTTTTTGTAATAGTTAGTTATGGTATATTTTAATTAACGTGTTTATAAAAATGAGCACAATTAGTGTAGATATATATTTTTTACAAAGGATTGATATGAATTAGTAATTTTGAGATGGTGGAGAAAATTATTAACTCAGGTGGATGATTGTGGTGGTATCTCGTTCTCTGACCTGGATGTTTTGGTTGCAGAGCTTTGATTGTTCTACTGAACAACATCATCAGAAGTTGCAATTATGTATTATACCTAGGAATATAGATGATGTACAAATGAATCTGATAGATACAGTTATGTGGCAGCTTTCATCTCATTTTCATCACAATAATATCTAATGCTGTAAGGTTGATGGTTACCATTTATAATAAATCTCAATTGGCAAATATACGAGGCTCTTAGTAATCAATATTGAAAATGAATAAATAGTGATTTAACTGTTTGTTCATGTATCAGATAATCAAAAGAATACAATATTAGGATGATTCGACAAAACTGATAGCCAAAACGAAACAATGATAACAGATGTACTTACTAAAAATGCTTCCGAAGTAGTGATCACTTTCATTCGAAGGAAAATATCGAAAAATCGGAGAATCATCTAGAAAAATAAAGAAAGTTGGAATAAACTGGTTAGCTAGCAGAACAGATATATTCTAGAAGAGTTTTAATGATAACATTACGGAGAGCAATAATAAAAAATATTCAGGTTAATAATATTAGTACGCAGATAAAAGCAGATAGTAGGACGAACATTATTCGATATTTTTATGAAATAACTGGAAATAATGTATATTATCATTACGAAACTAAACAACAGTACAAAGAGAAAGTATATAGACTGACAATTTCTTCGACTAACCCAGGGGATATTCAGCCACTAATAAATACATACATCAGTCAGTTACAACGTAGAGCATCGTACGTACGTACATAAGTTCATGCTGCCATACCACATTAGCGAAGAGACGCAACTGTCAATTCAAATCCCATAGTGGAAGAGTTAGTAGATGCATTAGCGATAATGGAGAAGATTAGGGTTAGGAGAAATTATTCAAAAAGTATAATTCAGAGACCTAGGAGCGTGGTTGCAGAGCCCAAGGAACAACTGTTTGAAGACGGTCACGCACGGCCTCTTTATGATAAGTTTTTAAAGTGTTAGTTCCGTTCTTTCTAAAAGGCCTTACCGCCGGAAACGGAAATGCATGAGGTAAGGTGAGGTGTGATATTTCTAGGGTCAACCTTTTCTAACCCCTTCCTTCCTAGTGATTAGGCAGCGTCGCTGTAGATGCTGGTTGTCCGAGCAAAACACCTTACTGCTGTCACACTCCTCTACGGTCAGCAGTACGACTTCGCCCTCAGACCTTGAGTAGCTGTTTTTAGTCTAACCGTTCTCCAGTCGACCTGCCTAGCATGGTAGGACCTACAAGAACATATGTCCCAGCCAATATAGCTCGGCTGGATAATCACAATTGACAAGCCCTACCACCACGTCAAGGTAGCAGCTTTGGTCGGGAAATATATATATGCATGTCAATAAAAACATTTTGTGCTGATTCCTAGTATACCTTGATCGATGTATATTATGGAACAGCATTTATTATTTTTAAGAAATAACTTTAAAAAATTCAAATGTAGACAGAAGATAAGCCATTAACTTTAATTCAAAAGGGCATCAACTGATCAAGAGATACAACAAAACGACTATCCACCTAACTTCATGACAATAATTAATCTATATACTTAAACACAGATTCACTTTAACAACAAAAATATGGAAAAACAATATTGACGGCTGCTTGAAAGATATTTTATGACAACAGCCTGACTAGATAGAAAAATTAGTCTGAATTTAAATAACACAACGGTTAACTCTACTTAACAAACACATCTAACGACAATATATCAGTTAGTTTGTTTATACAAGCTAGAAACTGATTCTCCTACATCCATATACCCAATGAGGTCAGTCAATACTTAAAATATTTATACATAAAGTGTGCAAGTTTATCTATATATAATGAAAACTTTTACAAATAAGAATTTACGAATAACAAGCTAAGATTTGAGATTTTAATTTGAGTTTTTTTCATTACTTATCGAAAATTATAGTATGCATTAATTTGTTCACTAGTAAATCAATTCTCTAGCATTCATTCTATACAGAAATGAATTTTTTTTTAAAAAAGTATCAATATAATTATACAATAATAATAATAATAATCACAATGATAACTACCTCCACATTAGCTGATGATTCAATTAATGTATCAACCATTTGTTTAGCAATTGGTCCATTGACAACATTTCCTTCAAGCATAGATAATAACATAATCATTAATTCTTTTTGTAAATTAAGAAATTCACGCAGCAAATCTAATTGATCAGGATCACGACTTAATTTATCTTGCATTTGTGCTGAAACATAAATGAAACCAGCTACAGCATCCCATAAACGACTATGCGCCAGTGCTAACTGATTGCCAATACATGGACCCTTTAAATATTTCACACAAGAAAAACAATAAGTGCTTTATGTTATAAAAGTATCAAAAATTGTTAAATAACGACAATTTGTGTTATTTATTAATAATGACTTTTTTCGTGATCATATCACTATTCTGATTTCTGTTCAATAAAAACTGATTTTATTTTCTCTGAAATAAATAGACATAATAAACAGTGTAATCGAAGCTGGTTTTACAAGATTTTCTGTACATCAAATATGACACAACGGAATTTCACAAAAGTTATAATGGAACATTTTTTTTGACTCCATATGTAAAAATTATAGAAATTTACCAATTTAAAATGGTAATCCTAAGGTTAAGTTGACTAATGAAACTGATAAAGATAAAGCATCTAAAAATAATATGTGGTTAGTTCTGAAATATGATTTTTATAGCTTCATCTGGTTCAGAAAAAGCACATTGAAAAGACGATTGATGAACTGAACAGGTTGAATATAAATTATTTTAAAATTACTGAATTGTTGATGAGAAACTTGCTTACCACGAAACCTAAAGGTTTTGGTCTCTATGTTTAGCGAGATTGTATATGTAAAAAAAGTGTTAAAAAGACATAGTCGAGTCAAGTGATTGTCCAGAGATCTCTGGTTTTCTATATTTGTCTGTGTAAAGTTAATTTTTGATGCATACACCAAATTTATATAACAGGATTGTAGTGGTTGTAACATATGACCACGTTACAGAATTACTTGAACGATCAATCTCTATCAGTAGTTTAGTAATAAGTAGGAAAATATCATTTTTATCTTGAGTGAGTCATTCGATTAAATGGATGGTCAGGGTTTAGAAAGAGATAATACACAACTTTCCGAGTGATTCGATTAGCTTAATCATATAAATTTGTATGATTCCAATTGTGTATCTAGTGTGAAGTTCAGGTTTAATTGGATTTAACAAGTAACTGAGAAAATCCCTATTCATAAGTGTTCAATATGAAATCGGAAGTTCATCATTTATCGTATTTTTCTTCTTTATTTAACTACAAAGTTTAGTGTTCGGAGGTCACTTGATTAAGTTTCACTATCACCAAGCCTAATCTGTAATTAGTTCTATTACCCAAATCCTTTGTTTACCGACAACCAATATGGTTCATCCTTGTAATATGTGAGATAGTTGCTTTACCGAATTCAATGAAAGACTTTTTGTGCGATACGATCAGGTGATTGAAGTTAGATATGTACATTATCGGATACCTAACTTAATGGTCTAGAGGTTAAGTACACGTCATGAAAACCGAACGTTTTGGGCCATTCCCCTTGTTGTGCGGTAATGAATGTACACAGCTAAGGAGTCTCATGTTAACAGTAATGCTTCTGGCTTTCTATTTGTTGTTTAACTCAAATCAGACTGTAATCTAAAATAAAATCTCATTATTCAATGTTTCATATTCCTTTCTTCAAAAATACCAATAGTTAAATAATTTATTAAAACAACTTTACTTGTATATATTCAGTTAGACTACGAAATACTTGTTTGCCAATTTTTATAGCACGAACAAAACTATTTTTGCCTGATTCATCAATTGTCTCTTTATTAGAATAATGCCAATAGAAATCCATAATTGATTCTTGTAATCTTAGTAAATAATCAACAGTTGAAATAATCAAATTCACTGATACTGTATTACCAGCTTGTGTACGCAGATAATCTTGAAAAGCTGTATAAAATCAATTAATAAAATAAAGAAATCTTTGAGTAATAATCAAAATTGTAAATTGTAAATGGCAAAACCTCATAGCAAAAAAATATAACTTACAGTTAAATTTATCGAAGAACAATAATCGTGTGTGCGAAGACTTTTGTACATTATTAAGTCAAACTTCATTAATGATATTAATTAGCCTTAGAGAAAAAAATTGACTTCAAATGTACAAAGTTTTCAATGACGTTCATCGAAATAATGACAGGTATATTTACACTCACATATTATCTAACATATAAATTAGAGAAAGTATAGAAGTCTTATTTATTTATTAATTAATTATTATCAGATGTTATGTCAAAATTCTTTAAAAGTATCCTTAGTGTTCGTCCTGCTCCTTTCTCATGTAACTAAACAATACCAGCTCAGTGGTACAGAGGTTAGGCGTTCACGCACAAGACCGAAGGTCCTAGGTTCGAATCCTGCAAGGTGCAGGAGTTGTCGCTATGCACTGCTGATGAGTCCCATACCAGGACGAAACGGCCGTCCAGTGTTTCCAGGTTTCTAATGGTGATCTAACATTGATCGATTCATGATTTCAAATGTGTAACTTAACAATCTTCACAACCCCGTAATGTAATACTCTCCTCATCAAAGGTTGTTTAAAAGGTAATACTAATAGTTCTAAGAAAATGATGTACGAAAATATTTGAATTCTGAGTGTACAAGTAGTAAAGTAGAGAAATGGAGTTAGAAAAAACAGACAAAGTTTAAATAAAAATTAACAAGTTAATGTACTCAGTTAACAGAACTATTAAAATAAATTGAACTTCTTTCAAATATTCAAGTCAATCATATTTGTTTGAATTCTTTTTATTATCCGCATCAAATATGAGAGACAAGTTTTAAATCCGGTTGACAAGTAAGACATTTTAATATCTATAATGGTAATTAACGTTAAGTTTTCATTCATTCATTCAAACGGAACTACATGCTACCACCTGTCGATAATGATTGATGATATGTCTTAACAATACATGTTAAATCTGTTCACATGACGAATCTATTTCATATGATAATAAAATATGAGAAATGTTAGTATTTTACTCTACTCAATAACTTCTAGTTCATTATCAAAGTCAATATAAAGTTCAAAAAAAAAGTCCATAATTTTTTAGAATAACTTATGTTTACATCAAAATTAATAATTCCTGTTATAAGAATAGAGAATTCATGTTTTATCATGCATAAATTATTACTTTGATTTTCATCAGTTACGATATCAAATTAAATCAGCAGTGATAATAGGTATTTGTAATTAACAGAACAAATGTGTTATTCTCGTCAATTCTAATGCTTGAAACTATTACGAGTTCACCTTACTCGGTAAACAAGAGCGAAGACAAATGACCCGGTGACACGATAGGCTACTCTAATTCAAGCGTCCCAAGGCCCCACTAAGTAGAGGAAAAAGTCTTGATATGGCTTAGAAAGTGTATTCTACAAGCACCCAGAAAATCGAGGCTTTCAAGCACGCAAATCGAGTATACTTATACATGATAGAAACGTCCTTGAGGGAGCCATAAAAAGTAATGTACTAAAATAACACATCGATCAATGAGATTCAAGGATTTCCATGGTGGGAAATGTAATCTGAAGGTCAACTGATCAGCTCATGCGCGAAAGCATAAAATCCAAAACTAGGTCCTGTATCAAGTGAGTTATGGGGATCTAATTTCCCCAAACAAAATGTGACTTTTGAATCAAATCATGACTACATTTAGGCTTCAAAAAAATATCAGTTAATACGTATTACAATTGGAAGATTTAATCAATGAAGTATGGGGATTTATAAAACCATAAGATGGTAGAGTTAATTATGCTGTTAACGAGTCTAGAAATGATTCAGTTAATCAAACCTACCTCTGTAATACTATTACTGATTTGCTATTCAATATGGTTTTCACATTGTAAACTATCTTTTTTTTAATTTTTATCTTCTCCTTATCTTCCAATTTGTTTATTTAACCTATTATTTTTTCATACATAAATGTTCTGAACAGGTGTATACGTGATCAGATTATTCAGAATATATTGTATAAACATTTAACATATTTCTGACAATTTTTGTCTTCTCATTGCATTATCCAACTTCTTAACTCCATTAGTGTTTTCAATCTTTATCTCAGTAATTAAAAAGCATCCATTTATAATAAAAATCAAAACTACATTATATCACATCATCATAAAGCAAAAATTTCTTTCACAGACTATAAAATATTATTTAAAATATTTACCTAGATTATGTCCTTCACATAATAATTGTAAAAATCGAAATATTTTACAAGTGAAATCAGCATCATATAAATTAGTTATTCCTTCCATATCGGATAGACCAACAGCTAGTCCTTCAGCTTTATTGCATCTAAATAACAGCATGTTAATAAAAGAATAATCAAATCAAATAATTATAAGCATGGGAGGCTTGAAAAGACTGTTAAATGTTACTAAGATCATGGATCGACTGAGGTTTGACAACCATTCGTCAAAATTAGATATATATCAGCCTATGAATGTTTGTCTAATGGTCTGAATGTTAAATTATCGTCGTGAGACTCTGAGGTTATGGGTTCTATCCCCAATGTAGTTATGGTTGAACACTGGCGAGGAGTCCCATACTTAAACGGAACGGTTGTCTAGAGCCTCTCAGTTTTCAGTGGTTGTCTGACTTGGAATATATGATCATCCGAATGACAATCAAGTAACATTTAATAGCAAAGATTTTGACAAAATATTCACAGAGAGCTAGGGGAATCTTGTTTGAATTATTAAAAGTTGGTGTTTGGAAAGACATTCTTGATCATTACAAACTTATTTATTATGGTGTTTTTCACTTCATATTATCAAGTTCAATTCACAACTTTTAGTATGCTCATGGTATTGATACATATATTCAAAACTAATCAAACGAAATTAAATATTTTACATTACACATTGATCTGAGTTAAAAAAACATTTAGAATCAGGAAGTGGTGAGCGGTTATCTTATCCTAATACAGAGCACCATAACAGTATACATCCGCAACATTAGCGAGTACTGAACTTAGGACCTTCAGTCTCGTGGTCTCACTTACTTACTTACTTACGCCTGTCACCCCTAATAGGGCATAGGCCGCCGACCAGTATTCTCCAACTTACTCTGTCCTGGGATTCCCTTTCCAACTCATGCTTCCCATATCTTCCTCCGTTTCACGGCGTAATGTGTTTCTTGACCTTCCTCTTTTCCTTTTACCTTGAGGGTTCCAAGATGGTCTCACACTACTTAGGAATCCTATACTGTAACGAAACAGTTAAACAGTGCTTCTTGATTTCCACTAGTTATCTAACTAAAATTAGTTAGTGAAAATTTAACAGTCTCACAAAAACTCGCTATATACTGAAATAAAATAATTATAGCAGTAACAATAACTATCTATTAAAATACATTTTCTCACCTTTCAAAAGTATCCAAATCTAAAACAGAACATTTCTGTGTTAGACCAGCTAAACTTGTGAAAAAACCAGATAATTTCTTTTTCATTAAATAATCTAACATTCTTCCTTGAACACCAATATTACCGCCAAGTAATAAAGCAATGCCTAATTCAATACTTGCTTGAGCAACTGGTGTAGATTCACCTTTAATAAAAAAGTGTATACATCATATAGTATTGGAAGAAAAAGGTAAGTCAATTAAATCCAAATGAAACAGTTAGACTGTAAGAAAGAAAGGCTAATACCTAACATCAAAAAACGTGATCATTGCTTTGAAAAAGCTAACAAAGTTAACAATAGTTATTGCCAAGGCGAACATTGATAGAAATTACAATTACCTTTGGATGCAGCTAACTGTAGAAGAACCATTTCAGATGCACCACGTTCGGCAAGACGATTTTGTTCACTTAACAATTGCTGTTTTTGTTCTTCTTGTTCCTAAATAGTTTTTGTTATTAATTATAATGAAAGTATTACAGTATACTAATACAGATTTATAATCAACTGATTTACATTAAGGACTGGATTGAGCTAGACAAAAATCGAAAACTTCAACGTACTGTGTTTGATCTTAGTTTGAGACTTGTCAACAGACAGTAGTCACATTACTCATTGTTTTTCTATTAGGTGCCTGGTTAAAAATTCAGTCCATAATGTAGGTTACCATCAAACTGTTGATAAAGTATTTTCCTAAATGTATACAAACTCCAGGTTAAGAATGCTGTTTAAATTAATTAGTTAAAATAACAGGTTTACTTATGTTGATCTATCCTCAAATAACCTAATAATGACTGAAGGTGGAGAGCGTATACAAATAGAGAGACTCACGTTTTGTGAAACCTCTGTAATAAGAAATAAATGATCACTTAACTTTATAATGTAATACTGATTTTTTCTAAAAATCAACACATTTACAAATGTCTCCATTTATGCATATTTATTCAAAATGCATAGATTTACTTATTTTTAAAACGGTGGCAAACAGATCAAGCATGTGAAATCAGTTATCAGTCATTGTAAACTATGATATTGTTAATTTCAAAACTTTTGTAAATTAATGTCATACAATAAGTCTATGAGTAATTAGTGATGATGAGTTTTAACTCAGTTAAAGTTTACTTAAAAACCGATCAGTAATCAAGTTATATGAATAAATAAAATAAATAAATAAATGTTAGAATACAGATGTTGATCTGTTGGCAAATAAGTCCCGTTTTCAAACTCGTTTATACCACATCGGAAATGTTCATAAATGGTCTTTCAATATTGTAGATAATCAATTCGAACTCCAATTCCTATTTACAACTCATTATTAGATAACATTTACTAAATGAACACTATCTGATCATGTCTACGTATGTTAGGAATGATATTCATTTAACGATATAACAAGATAGTGGTTCAAAACTATCAATCGTTATAAATAAGCAAAAGTAACATTTTTTTAAAAAAATCTACCTGGAAACTAGAGCCTTCTTCATTACTATTCTCTTCTTCATCTTCTTCATCCTCACCACTGCAACTCTAAATGAAAAAAGGCAGTTTAGAGAAAAGAATAATATTACAATTAATGAAAATGTGACCCTGTTTCAATGGAAATGTATTTGTAATTATTTTTTAATTGAATATAACTTTTAAAGTATAGATAATATGAATGAAGGATAATGTTTTCATCAAGTTCTACAGTTCTATCATCTAAAAGAATGTTTAAAAATATCAAATAGGTACTAATAAATTGTATAACAATTAAATAACTATCAACACCTATTCTCACTGAACTTACTTTGCTCATAATTTTAGCATATGCTAAATATAATGGATCATCTGGAGCTTGATCTGATGCTGAACGACATAATGCTGTCAATAATTGTGTCAATGGATCAGGTTGACATGAAGATGAATCTTGTCCATAAGTATGTTGACTTGAAGAATTACTAGATGTTTGTGAAGAACCAGTTTGTAATAGACTGGCTGATCGACTGGGATCTGAACTGATAATAGCGGTTCCAGGATCTTTTGTAGCAAGTGATAGATCCAATTCTAAAGTTGAATCTGCCATATCGAAATCTTGAGCTGCAGCAGTTTCAGCTTTATAATGAATAGGAAATAAGAATAAGGTGTGAAAATATCATGGATGTCATGAATTTCGATAACCTTTGCTTGTAAATGAAGATAATTTACATATATTTATTCAATACAATGAGTCAAAAATGAAAATAAAAGTTGACTACCGCATAGTATATATTTAAGACGATCTAACTGCACAAGGTACATCTATAACAACCGCTAACTAATATTCCATTTTGATTTAACAGTTCACAGTTTTCAACTTCACTCACATTGCAATATAACACGATTCACTTTTACCGTCATTAGATAAAAACTGTTTTATGCCCAGCATAGTTGATTCTAGTTGGAACAGTTGCTCATTAGAATCATAAATAATCGGTAAATGATTGCCATCTCTTATATTTCATGAATGTTAGACTAGTAGAGAGTCATTAACTTTGAAATATATAAAAAAGTAAAATAAAGTTTATTTCATATCCTATTCTTCTCGATATCGTCAAATTAACTGATTATATATATAATAATAAATTTCTTTGTTAGCTAGTTAAAGATTAGTTTCATTCTATGATGTTAGGAAAAAGTTAAGGATAGTGATAAAAATGTTTTTCATACTGAATATTGTATTATGGGGTTGTGCAGATTATTAAGTTACTCATTAAAATCATGAATAGATCAATGTTAGACCACCATTAGAAACCTGGAAGCACTAGACAGCCGTTTCGTCCTGGTATGGGACTCACCAGCAGTGCGCACTCACGACTTCTGCACCTCACAGGATTCGAACCTAGGACCTTCGTTCTTGTGCACGAACGCCTAACATCTGGACCACTGAGCCGATATCTAACGATGTTGATGTCTAACTTCAATCAACTGACGGTCTTGCGCAACCTCATACACAGTCTTCGGTAGTTACTGTGTACACCCGAACAAGTTCGACTTCACTGATCACGACTTCTCACTAGAACTCGGCAAAGATTTCTCACGAAGCTAGTCACCAGTGAGCACAGTTAATTTGTATTACGCGGTTATGAAGATTGTTAAGTTATTTATTGAATATTATTGAACTTGATTATCAAATAAAAAAAGGATATATTACACATAAATAATAAACACATTTTACCACATACAATCTGTACTTTTTTGAACACCTTCAATTGTATGCCCAGTACTAGGTGTCATTTCATTTGTACCACTTGCTGATAATAATTCATTTGATCTTGACAAATCTTTCAATAATGCACCACTTGTCACATCTTCAATTAATTTCACACCTAATGATTCTTCATAATCTAACCATTCAGTTATGTAGCCTTTTAAGAATAAATTCATTACACGATGAGTTGGCATTGCATATAATGGTACCATACGAAAACATGCCATAACAGCACGTTTACGTTGGGATGAAACCAATTTTTTCCAAGAACCTTTACTAACAGCTGGTGGATGATCCACCTAAATTTAACAAATAATAAATTGGTTTTAAACTTCATCATAACCATATGAAATAAAAGGTAAGTCATATAATTAGAATGAAAGGAAATTATTCATACAATAAGAATATTTTTGTCAATAAATTCTCTTCCGATTTCTACAGTTATACATCCAAATTAATAATTCAAAATTTATTAAGTTTAGGATATAATACACAATGCCAGGATCAAAATAAAAACTAATCAAAACACATTGTTTACTAATTCAAAACGCGATCAGCTTTAAGGCAAATAAACCACTTGATATAAAGACATTGGTCCAATGACTTTATTCAGCTATTCATTGATAAACAATTTTCTGATAAACATGACTGTTAACTATAATTACTTACTTTTATTTGCACCTACTATTACCATCTACATGATATGAGTGTTTTATTTTTAGTATCCTGTTCTTTTACTAATGAGTACTATCTATATTTTAGAAATACAAATCCCTAAAATTCCTAAACTATTAAAAAATCAAGGTTACATTGTACATTTCTCTGGCGTTTATAAAGCTTCTCACGAGAAAATATCTTCCAAAAAAAAACAAACAGTATATAGAAATAAGAAATACTGAAGTAACTTAAATTTCATAAAATGAAGTTTATACTACTGTTACGCATGCACGTAAACACGTCCATTTGATATGCTTGAACTATTACGAGTTTATCTTAGTTTGTAAACAAGAGCGAGGATCGACGATCCGGCGACACGACAGGCTACTACTATCCGATTGTCCCAAATCCCCATTGAGTAAAAGAAGAAGACTTAGTCTGAAGTAGAACCTGTATTCTACAAGCATCAGAAAGTACAAGGTCCGAGTCCAGAAGAGGATGAGGTCCCGGACTAGGGATCCGGGTCCGAGTCCGGGACATAAAACGTCATAGATAATGCGTATTTGTACAGTTAGGTCGAGTAGAAAACAACATTGAAGTCTGTGACATCGTTAGCTAAGACGACCATCATATTGACCAACAGGAAGTGACCAATAGAATTAGACTTCCAAAAATAATCATATCAGGATATTTGATCACTATCCTAACAACTACCATATTTAATATATTTACTGAACATATCAAAATATGCATACATAGGTAGATGTTAAGTTTAGTACTTACCAAATAAAGACCATGCATTACTTTGGATAAAATCAGAATTTTATCTACTATCTCTGATCTAGTTGATATTTCAAGTTCAGCATGTCGACCAGTTGCAGCAATTGTTCGATCGATTTTTTTATATAATAATTTTTGCCAATTTTGAGTACGATGATCAAGCTAAAAAAATAATACAAAGGACAAATGTTAAATGTTGTATTGTAACAAGCAAGTATTCTTTTTGTCAGTTTAAACTTATTCTCAATAATTATGGTTGTATAATGATACAACAGTAATCTGTCGTCAATTTAAACAACACAACAGACAATCATTGAAACAAGAAACAACTCAAATACTTCAGTTTCAAACGAATAAAGGAAAAGTAGATGTATATGTAAATATGACTTAGAGAATGAGTTAATGAATTGCATAAAAACCCCCTTTTAAACAACTAGACAATATCTACCAACAAGTGAATACTTTACATAATCATCTGGCGAATGATAATTACCCGTTACCAGATGGTATAAGTAAATTGATAACTTAGAATTCTATGCAATTCCTTTGTGTATATATATATATATATATATATATATATATATATATATTGGATTAAAGCATGAATATGTTGCCGCACGCTGATTGACTCTTTCGTATCCAGTCAACGCTAGTCTATACCGGAGGAACATTCTAGAATCTTGTCATGTAAGAAACCATAAATATACTAACATTTTGAGCTTCTGGTCTTCCATCTAACCTTGTTATTGGAATATAATCTATTTTCTTGTTCAACCGTGTTCTGATTTGAGAGAACATCTCGAGTGAATTGGTGTTCGAGAATACTATAAGCATTAGGAATAGCTGGGTTGCAGTAAAGACGGAATTATAACAATCTTTTTTTAGATTTTATGTTACACATATAACAATATATTAATATTATAATGTCTAAACACAAAACTGATTATTTCTACTAGCTTTACAAAAAAATGTGAAAGCATTCACCAGTTTCCTAAAATTGTTGCTCATATCTCATATCTTTACGTCAAATCCTGTTTTACTTACAAAATTATCTATAGACTTATAGATCTAATCCAATCATATTATATTCAATCAGTCACAATCATTCAAAAATTGATGAATACTTTCTCCAAACTATTATCTGTCATGTACTACTACAGTAAATAAATTCAATGTTAATCATTTTCTAAACATGATACATTGATGATAACTCATTTAACCAACATAATGTTAGATAAGGTAAACTTACATCACCTTCTTGATCCAAAGCATTATTAAGCAATGCTTCAATAGCTGCATCACTTTCTCTCTGTGTATGTACAATAAAAACACACACAAATGTATACAGACGTAGATGTCAATTAAGAAATAATGATAATGTTGACATAACAAGTGAGACGGTAAATTAAGCATGATGAATAATTTTTAAAGAGAGCGAAAAGACAAAACCAACAAACATGGAAAACGAGAAGTATTAGGTGGAAGTATGAAAAAATATGTGTGTGATTTTAAAAGTATACGATTATTTTAATGTGTATTTGGAATTATTACTTGAACAATTTGGTTGGTGAAAAATCATTAAAGTGACAGCAATGAGGAATTAAGGATTGCATAGAATACAATCGATTTTAGGTAATTTTTTAAAGAGGGAAAACAAGCCGTTGAAAATGGTAAACATTTCCGAAAAACCAAGCAACAATTAAAACACATTCACAAAGTTAACAAGTTAAGAGACGAAGACACAATGTTAGCGAAATTTTGTTGACTGGATAGGTTTGGGTGGGGGAGAAGGTAAATACAGACATTATTTTATCCATGCTTTGCCAAAACAGTATACAGACAACGAACAAAAGCGTACACAGTTAATAGCATCAGATTTAAGAAAATTCTTGTGTATATATTCATAAAAATGCGTTACGAATTTTAAAATGCAGAATATATATATATACTAAGCAGTAACCAGTCTTTTGCTACCCGCTGTTACTGATCATTATACAAACCTATGCGTTAAATTATAAGTCATATTTCTTTTTCGGAAGACTTTAACTACTTATTATGAATCAGTAGTACAAAACGGAACAGAAAATCTCAGACATCAGGTTGACTATTGATAACCATCTAATATCGTTGAATAATAATTGGTCGCAAATTGAAAATTACAATGCACCTTCAAAGTGTTTTATTTGATTGATAAAATTACATCATGTTTTCCTGGAAGAAAGAATGATTGTGATTTCAAACGGTTGAGCCAACTTATTATTGAGCGAGAAAACGATATTGTCAATGACTACTGACAGACACTCAGAGCAGACTACAAATAAAGTGAAAATTGAGTACGTGGTAAATAGAATTAAAACAAACATGGCCAACCATAGTATGCCCATCTTTAGAACCTGATGACGAGGACCTTAAAATGATGATACATCGGAATATTAAACTAACCTTTCGAAAGAAAAATTGATATATTCATTCAATTCATCTTAGCGGGGACCAAATTATCAGCGTGTGTTTGTTGATCAAATAAATTACATCATACAAACTGATAAAAAAAACCTTGGTAGCAGTTACGTTATGAATTATTGGGTAATTCCTGGTATTATCCTATAAACAAACCCTAGTCTAACATTGTCAATGCCAACAAACAGGCAAACATGTTTTAGAAAAGGATCTTTCCCACTATTTCTTGAAAAAAACTTAATGATCACCTAATTTAAGAGTGCTAAATAAGTACTTGTCCAAAAATCTCTATTCTCTGTGCATGTGTTATAGTATTAGTATTAGTAACAATAACTTATCAACAGCAAAAAGTAACTTTATTAGGTAAACATTTGTTAAAAAAGAGGATACGAAGGAAATATAGGAAGAGAAAAAATCATCAAGTATGAATCACAATTTAGGCAGTTTGTATCAAAGCATTACCATAGTTCAGATTTCAGCATACATCACTGGGTAAACGAGGGTGCAGGTTTATTAATTATATGTTTAGTAGAAGGTCATTGAAACAAATCTTCAATGTGATTTTTATATACATATATACATATATATGGATATGTGTCTAAATGCTTATATAACAGCTTATCAGTATTATTATTATTCACAGGTCAATTCATTTGCATACACACAAAAAGTGCAATAACACAGAAGCATTCCACAAGTATGATGAGAGGTTAGAAAAAAAAATGCGAACAATGATACACTCAATTGCAGATTCACATCTACACACGTATGTACACATATATAATTCATAATGTTAGGCAAAAACAAATACCTGCATTAAATGCTCCAAACCTTTGTCACCTGTCAAACTAAATGTTTCCTTTTAACAGTAATAGTAATATAATAATAATATTATTATTAATGACCGACTGAATAAGACAAATTAGGCTAATGAAAAAAATGTAATTTATAAGATTTGTAAATTATCCATATGATTTTGTGCATAGAGAGATATGTCAGGTATATGATGCATTGTTTATAACACAGACAATCACAGATAATCAGGTAGCTATTTCGTTTTGAAATGAAAATTTTCAACCATGTATAACTATACCAGGTTGAAAAATGACTATCCAGTTCTTCCTAATATTCAGTAGTTGTCTACAAATGCATAATTATAACACTACAATAAATCCTTAAACAAAATATAGAGGCAGACTGAAACTAAACAAAAGTAGTTAACTACAAAGGTAATTGAAAGAAATCACCATAGCCAATGAGTCCATGTTCATAGTTAAAAAAGCAACAATTACAATGAACTAATCACAAAAACCAATTATCAACTACAATAAATTTGAAAGTTATTCGGCTGTTTGAAAGAACAAATAGATTTACGAGCGTACACTATAAATATGGGTATAGACCACCTGATTGGTGTCCTCATGACAACAGTAACCAGTTGTTAGAGACTTTGACAACTCATCATCGTTTGCAGTGGTCCAGCTGCACCTTTTTCTTTCTTGATCCGAATTTTGAGCCTCAGAATTCCTCATAAACTTTTGTTTTTTTTCCTTTTAAATTTTTTCCAACTGATTTATATTTTCTCAAATCATCGATCCCTAATCGTTTCCACTGTCGGTAATACTGATACTACCATTACTACTATGGGATTTGGCCTGATAATTACATCTGTCTGTGCAAATCTGATATGGTAACTTGAAATGATGTACCTACGTTGCAACTGGTTGAGTGATTGATAGAGAACTCTATGAAATTTAATAATTATTTCAGTAAATTTCAATTTCGTGTATCAGCTACAAATATTATCTAATTTTGCTAAAAGTAAAAAGTGATGCGAAGCTCAAATATACAGGACCAAAGAGCTATAAGTTAGTTTGTTACTCTATCGAAAATGATTATCTACACACTCCAATTATTTTCCCCTGAATTTTTATTACCTTTTTTCAATGTGTTTAATCTATGCAATTTACCTAATTCTGAGAATTTCCTAGTCCAGTAGTACTAAGGAAGAAAGATGTATGGAGGAAATATTGTTATAATGAACATTATTTATCTTGTGATGACAAGCAAATTGTTATGATGAACATTGGAAATCATCTCATACTTTAATTGATTGGTTTGGAAACCAACCATTTGTATAGATAAGCACAAATAAATGGATGCATTTGTCAACCTTACATGAAACTGTAATGCTGAGAAGGAGGTAGGATATTGGTTTTTGCTTTGTCCAATATCATTTCTGGGTTAGAAAAATTATTTTTTAACTAATTAGATTTACATGTAATCAGATCTTATGAATAAAATCTTAGCAGTAATCTTTTTAAGTCGGATTATTTGTTAGTAGTATGATTATCCTAACAAAAATTACAGTACACATCTTCAATTATAAATATAGATATATACATATATATACTTGTAACATACTTTGATCAACTTTCGTTTTGCACAAAGCACCAGTTCTTGTTCACGTCCACCAAGTTGACTTAAACCTGTTCGATTATTTTAATTATAAAAATTCAACTTTTATTTAAAAACAGAATTGTTTGTTACATTAAAAAATTACTCCATCACCTCAATAACAGATCTTATTGATGCTATACTTTAGTATGAGTTTCAGCAACACTTTATGGAATTTTAAAATTGGATCTCATGTTTATCAAGTGCCGATTAAAGTGAGCTGGGGGCTATACAATACAATATACAGATAAACCAGTCAGATTTAAGATAAAGCTCCTTGGAATTTCGGGAGAAATTCATTTAATCATTATAGACAAAGAGCATTTTTGCACTGTAATTGATATCAATTAACGATGCTAACCTTCACCTGAATTCATAACTTCTAATACTTAACTCCATTTTGAGATATTTCAAGATCACATTGAAATCATTTAAGATCGTCTATAGATTATAGTTTCATCAAGTAATCTATGCATACTATCTTTATTAATTAATTATTCAATAAAAATCAAACAGTGTATTAAGAAGAAAAAATTTATCCCATTTACCAACTAAAACGAGACTATAAACATACAGTAGAATATCATTCATTTATTGCATAGAATTAATAATAATGTTAACTTACCAACTGGTAGAAGACGTTTAATACATGCAACAGTTAAACTTGTATGTGGACCAGTTTTAGCTTTTTTCACTTTATTTATTGTTCATAAATAAAGTATGAAAGATAAGAAAAAAAGATTCATAATTAATCTAAATATTTTATCATACTTATCTTTGAAAACTTAGATAACTGTTTTTTTAGAAATTCCATAGTGAAATATTTTACACCTACGATTATTAGTTTAATTTTATCAACAAACTAACAATGAGAACTTTGAAAGTAAATTGACCATTTCTGAAATACTGATCTAATCTCTTTTTTTATGGCTGATTCGGAAAAACTAACCAATTCCAATGTCTTTCTCAATCTATCTATCCTAACGTTTATTCATATTGTTATTCATGTTGTATTTAAGTTCATAAAAGCAGGTATACATATAATATGTTCATTCTAATATTGAGTTATGAAATCGAAAAAGATGTACAAGAGTGTTAAAACAGAAAGGAGAAAGGGAAAAGACAAAGGATTGCGAAGAAGAAGAAGAAGAAGCTAAGTAATT